GCCTTTCAGGAGCACGTGAAACACAGGTGTTGATTTCCTCTTAAACACAGTTCCCATAAACCCTTGTGGCCATATGGCAGCAACAGAACCACTCAGATAATTACATTCTTACAACTGCTCATTGTAGAGCACACACACGAACTCTAAAGGCCGTAGTGGCAGGAACCCTGCAGGCCTTTGCTCGTTCATGGGAAATACCGGGTCTCTTCCATGGGGGCGTCTTGGATGGCCACGGACCTGGCTTGCTTGAATTCTGGCTAAGCTGTAAATTAAACCATTGGTTATTTTTAATTTTTTATCCTCATTTGAGGATATATTTATTGAGAGAGAGAGGATGGGGGAGAGAGAGAGCAGGAGAAACATTGACGTGAGAAATATCAACTGGTTGCCCTGACTGGGGATGGAACCTGCCATCTAGGCATGTGCCCTGCCCAGGAATTGAGCCTGCAACTTTTTGATATATGGAATGACATTCCAACAAACTGAGCCACCCAGCCAGGGCCAAAGAGTTGATTTTTGAGAAAGATTAGCTTCTCTATTTTATGCTACAAATGTCCGGCACTGGGTTTCTCTGAAGGTCTCATCACATGTTAGACATCTCATCCCAGATTCCAACAAGCCATGAACAGAATAAAACCAAGAGGATTTCCAAAGAAAAAGGAAAGAACTGTACAGGGAATTTCAGCTCTTCCTTGTTCACTGTGACTTTCTATCCACATTTGGTGGGGAGGGGGCCTTTATCAGCTCAGGCCTGGGCCAGAACACATCTTTAAATTATATTAAAAAAATAGATACCTGTGTGATTAAAACCTAACCAAACAAACCTCTGATAGGCACAAGGGAAAATGCTCAAGTGCAACAAAAAGGTTATCGAATTCCAGAATCACAAAATATTACACCTAGTCTTACCCTTTCATGTTAAAGATACTCTTGGCACTACAGCCTCTGCCTTCCTCCAAGATGCAGCTTTTCACCGGTCTGTATGAAGAAATTCACTGCGACGTATTGACCTTAAAACTGGGAGGAAACGCTCTAGAGAGACTTGCTTATGACCTTGAAACCGAAACACAAAGCCAACAAAGCATTTCTTCACCAGTAGGTCTGGACAACCATGTCTTATCAGACTTAGAAAAGAAGCTAAAATAAAAGTGTGCAGTTGTCTTCTTATGGGGGACATGATAAGATAAATGGCACATCCTGTTTAAGGATATTTAAATGGAAGTCACCGGGAGTGTTTGGTAGGAAACCTAAGCTATCACATGAGTTGATGAGATTGCAGATCTTTCTCCCCAGGGGACTCATTTGGGGGAGCGAGCTGTAAGCATGCTCAGTTGCCTGAACTGAGAGATGGGGACAAGGACAGAGCAGGGAGCCAAGCGACCTGAGGGTGAGAAGTGAATGAAGAGAGAACTGAAAAATAAATAAAAAACAGAACAAGGGCAGATGCAAGACAAGGAGGTGAGAAATTCCGAGGGCTCACCAGAAGGGAAAGGGGACTGAGCCAGGAAGAGCGAGGGCCAGGAAGACCGTCTGGGCTGCTGGGCTGGGGGTCTTCCCTCCAGGGTCCCAGGTCGCTAAGAAGGTAGACGCTGTTCAAAATCTTCCCATCTATTCAATATAGTGGCAATGAAAAAATGAGGTCCCCTGGAGACCAGTGACAGACCTGTAGCCCAGAAAAGGTCCTGTGTTGAAAAAATGACCTCTTTATGGTAAATGGGGCCAGGGTGAAGGGGGCTCAGAGGGGGTCCGGACAGGACAGCCACGCATGTTGTTGGGGACACCTGGGGGGAGGGGGCGGGGCTTAGCACCAGGTTGCCTTCATGGGAGGCACTTTTGACCCACAGGAGAGCTCAAGGGAAATAACTTTTTAAAAGTCATAGGAAAAATATAACAGTTAGTAAAAAGAAGATATCTTGATAACATTAAAAGAAAAATGATAGAAAAACTTAAACCATGAGCACACTATATGCAGGGAAATGTTTTCTTCCATATAAAAGACCCACTGCCCGCAGTATGAATAAACCTTTTCCTACTACCTAAACTATACAATCAGATAAGTTGTTGACCTTCCGTAGTCAGCTCTGAGAATTAGGTTCTGACTTAAACAAACACATTTAAACCTCAATGATCTGTACCGAGGTTCCTGCGTGAAGCAACGAAATAGAACTTTTTCTGCTGAAACACTAACAACGATTGTTAAACTGAAGATGAAAGACCGACCAAGTGGGGACTCTTGCCCACGCGCCCAAGAAGGCGCAGGCGCAGGCGCAGGCTCAGGCGGGCGCACGAGGAAGGCGGGAGGCTGCTGGGCAGAGGGCAGCCGGGCCAGTGGCAGAAACGGGAAGCTCCTCCTGTTGGAGCCAGGAAGGGAAAAGATCCTCCTTCAACCAGGAGTATGGGTCACAGAATTTTTAAAGCAAGATTTAAAGAATTGCTGATTTTTCTCTTTTAGGGAGGAGAAAAGCTCCCGCGAGTGTTTCTGGCCCTCAGTTTCCCAGGGCGGCCCCTGTGCACCCGCACGCCGCTCCCCCGGGCAGCCGCCGCGCCCACCTCGTTATGCAGCATCCGCAGTGCTGGTCGGCCCGGCCCTCCACGCAGACACAAGAGAGCCTCCTTTGAACCTAATTTTGCCAGAAATTTTAATGAACCACTTTCAAGTTACTCCAGTGAATTGAGGTTTGACTCTGAAAAGCAAGTTTTTTTGTTTTTTCCAAAACAGTGAACACTAACCCTCACTTTGTCTAACCTTTATACAGCTCTGCACTGTGCCAGGCATTTCACAGAGATGTTCTCTGTCACCTGTGGGCCGGCGGACCTGCCCCGGGGCAGGGAAGGGAGGCTCAGGGCGTGGAGGCCCTGCCCCAGGTGGCTCCGCGGGGGAGGGGCAACAGGGGCGCACGGTCAGCACACAGACCTCCTTCCTCCGGGCCAGAGAGCTTTCCCACTGGCTGTGGGCATTGCAGGCACAATTATTTTGGCCAATGTTTGCAATAAAACACTTTGTCTTTGGAATGAGTGGAGTGCAAGAAAAAAATGTCTCTTAGGCGCTTTCACCGTGTTTCTCACGGTGAAGTGAGCCCAGGGACTGGCAGTGTCCTCTCGTATAAGGCAGTTGTGGTGGCTCTGTCTTCCTCGATGGCCGTTGGTTCAGAGCCGGGGGCTGGCTGGCAGGTGGTGAAAACCATCTGACTGTATACAAATGTCCAGGATCCTGTGTATCATCAGAAGTCCTTGAACCCATTTGCTTGTATGTCACGTGGTAGAAGGATGCTGTTTATTTCTCCCATGCCCTGGGGCTGGCAAGGAGAGCTGGGCAGCTGGAGGACTGGGCTGTAGAAGCCCAGTGGTATCCACTGAACCCCATGTCAAGTCTAGATCATTGTCTGGGTCCATTAGCTATGCTTTAGTCACATCCAGTTATGCACATGTGCCCTTCAGCCCAAAGAGAGCTGAGAAGAACTCATACCATTTGTCCGAAGCCTGGATGAGCCATTCCTGCTCAGGTAATGGAGCTACCCCTACTCAGAGGAGCTGCTCCTGCTCAGGTGAAGAGGCTGCTGTTCTTACAACACAGGTGGGAAGAGGCAAGGGGTGGAGTTGTCAGTGAGGGTGGGGCTGTGATTGACAAGCTTTCTGAACCAGACACTATGAATGGGAAAAATAATAACATGTTTTAATGCATTTTCTGTAACCTACAGGACTGAGAAAGATGTTATGGATTTGAAGTCAGAATGTGGGCCCTGGCGATCTAGCCTCTCCTACCTGGAACCGTCCTAGAGATGCATTCCTCCGAGATGTCAGTCTGCTCGAGGCCTGGCTTTCCTCTGCACACCCACTACCCTGTGCTTCTGCCTCCTCTGACCCACCTTCCCTTTCGATACTGGTGCATTTGAGTTCCGATCTTGACTAGGGGTGTTTACCTTTGCCCCCCAGCCACGTTCGCTTGGCCTTGACTTCTCAGGCCTCGGTAACTGGTTGTAGCTCTAAGAAGGTGTTGAGTCACTGTCAGAGAGTGACCTGAGGGCTGGTGGGTGACGGGGGTGTTAGGTAATGGTTAATGTGACCCCCCTCCTGGTTTTTCAGGTTGACTTCTGTTGTCAGGGCGCAATTATTCCTACTGCTCTTCTTCACTTGCAAAGTGTCCTGGACTGAACAAGAGAATACGGTCACCCTGTGGGAGAAGCAGGTAGCAGGGTGGTCAGCCCACGGTGACCACAGGAGAGGGAAGGCCGTGGGCAGCTAATTTCCCAGCACTGTCCCTTTAACCATCTTGCTAAAGAAACAGCTTACTCCAGAACCTCCTGAAAATACATAGGTTGCTACCTGTCTGCATCCCGGTCAGTTCAGCGCTGGCTTGGGCACCTCAGGGCACCAGGCTGAATGCATGAGGCTCTTGGCTCTGAGGACCAGCCCAGGGTCCAACCTCATGCCCCAGGCGTGGGCTTCTTTCCTCTGCAATGTTGGTGTGTCTTCTTCTCACAGACAAATGTCCTCTGCTTTGCCAGCTTGGTACACGCACCAGCTTATGACATGTAAAAAAAGCCCAGGAAGCCAGAGGGCTGTCGGTGGCAGCACCAAAGGGGGCCGAAAGGAAATCTGTTGAGAAGGACTTGGGAAAGGTAGCAGGCCTCTGGCCACAGCCTTTGGGGGAGACTTTCCAAGGTCAGGACGTGACGTGCTGGCAGCCCCTTCTGCAGAGGGTTTGCCCAAAGAAATGCAGCTTCTCCACAAGGAAAAGGCATCCCAGAGACGTGGGAACTGCGGCAACAGCAGAGGGCCCGCTGCGGGCTGCAGAAACCCGGGCAGGCAACTGGAGGACATGGGTGCATGAGCCTTGGTCTTCCGGCTGGGCTCTGGCTCTCAGAAGGGGCAGGAGGCCATGCTGTCCTGTGGTTGCCCTCTGATCGCCCCCTCCAGTCAGGCCCCCTGGAAAGGTTCGGCCAGCGACCCTCTGTCCAGGGTTAGCTCCGTCTTCTCCCTCCTCCAGGACGAGGCACTTTCCCCAGGGCTCTGTGCCGCCTGGTTTCACTTCTTGGCGATTAACCATCGACTCTGACCCTTGAGGAGGTACAAAGAAGGGGATGTTTAGGATGGAGCCCCGCGGGTGCCCCCGGGCCAGGCGATCCCACAGACCCGGCTGACCTGGGCCGAAGCCCAGCGCCCTCCCACTTTGGACCTGTCCTCTCTGCCCCATTTCTTCCAACACAATTCCATTTGCCGTCCTGATTCGAGAAGCGAGTGTGGCCCAGAGTCCTGCTCACTGATGGCTCTATCAGGGAAAGGAGGATGAGGCAAGGCAGGGGACCCCCTGAGGGTGGCGGCCAGCTCCTCCCTCTCCGTTTTGTGATCCCTTCTGGCCAACGGGGTTCTCTCCTCATTCCGGTTTTGCTGGCTGCCAGTGTTCTCACTGAGCACATACTCCGTGCCCTGCTGGGCGTCCCCGTCAGCTCCTGTGCCTTACAGCCCTTCGTAGCCCCTCCCTCCCTTCGCACTGTCTGTGCATAGTATTTGCTCAGCAATGCAGGCTGATAATTCAGCAGGTCATGGGTGTTTATGAGCCTGGACCATTGGGTTGGGGGAGACTTGAGCTGGGTCCATCAAAGCCTAATGAATGAGAAAGCCCTTCTTCTGTAAGGGTCCCCGTCTACCACGGGAGACTGGCTTTCCAACTCTAACGGATGGCGGAGGGAGCAAAGACACAGGGTTCCTGGCTGTTCCAAGGAGGGAACTCATCCAACTGAGGGGCCCAGAAGTCTCCCTGGGCCGTGGTGTCTAAGCAGGCACTTGAAAGGAGGGTGGAATTTTGCAGTAAAAAGGGCATTCCAAGCCAAGGGCCCAGCATGGGCTAAGGTGTGGGGGGTGGACTAAGGAGGCATATTGGGGTCAGCGAATATACATTGGAAGCCTGCCCCCCGGCCCCCGAGACAGCCTGGATGGTACTAAAGCCCGTCCCCAGCTCAGTTCTGCCTCTGCCTATGTCAACAGGCCTTAGCTGTCCTTCAGGGGCAGGGCTCTTCCAGAAACCAGAGGGCCCGTCTGTGTGAAGGACTCTGCCTCAGTGTACACGGCTCCCTTCCCTGCGCCCCCTCCGCCCCCCTCCACCAGAGCGAGGAACCTGCAGCTTCGAGGCAACGCCAGCTGGGGAATTCTCCTTGGGGAAAGGAGCGGCGGTCTCCCTGGTCCCGCCTGCCTTCTCCACTCTCCACCTGCAGGGGTGTCTCCTCTCCTTTCTTGTCCATGCACTGGTGGCCTGTCCTCCTTTTCCTTTCCAAGGGTTTGGAGTCTTACGAGCATGATGTCTGAGGTGGCCTGAAACTGCGTCCAGGTGCCAGGCAGGGGCCAGGCCAGATGTGCGCAGTGTGAGGTGGTGATGGGAGGGTGCAGAGAGGACAAACGGACCGTGGCAGCAGTGTCCCTGACATTTGTGGGGCTTTGGGGACCCTGCTGCAAGCCAGGCAGTTAGACCTGTACTGCTTAGCCCCTGGTGAGTTCAGCGACTAGACACCCATGTGAGAAGCACCTCTGCCGCCACGCCTGCCCTAGGGGAGCTGACCCCGCACCGCCTCCTGGGTGGTCAGGTCCCCTCGGACAGCCGTTATTCAGTTATGACGCACACGCATGCCACAGTTTTGCAATGCCAACTCCGTGCATAACACTGTCACAGCCAATGGCTCCAGGTGGAGGGGCGTGGAAGGCACCAGCACCCCAGTGCTCGCAGGAGCCGACCAGTCAATTCACAGAGAATAGTCACCAACGGGGCGGTAGTGTGCCCCACTGGGCAGGGCTGGGTGCATCACTCTCTCCCTGGGCTGGCAGTTCTCCACAGGAGGGGCTGCCTTTCCCCAGGAGGGACTGAGTGTCTTTAGCCTCCATGAGCCTTCTCTGGCCACCAGCTCCTTGAGCGGCCCTTCGCCAATCCTTTCCTCCAGCCACGCACCCGTGCGTCTCCTCCTGGCATCTGGTCTGGTCTGCTAGCGTGAGTACCGATCCCCAGCTTCTCTACCAGCTTCCTGACCACTGTTCCCCTACTTCTAATCTCCCTGCACCACATTTGATGCCGAGTTGAGTTAAGGTCCAAGTGGAGAGGCCCGGGTGGGGGGACCTGGAGCCAGGAGCCCCAGGTGAGCAGGGTGTGGGGGGGTGTGGCTGGCACCTGTGATGGGAGGGGTCCTAGCCGAGGATGCTCGAGGCACCAGACTACTTGGGGAGACAATGTGCTCGCATAAATGAGGCCAAGCCTCTGTGGACTGCTCTGCATGGGGGAGGGCCGTGTGCACACAGAAGCCAGGCGAACGGTGTCTGTATTTCTCTGAGTGCCGGACAACTTACAGTGCAGTGTGCCCAGGGCCTTCCCTCCCACCCCACGTCTGGGGTTCTCCTGCCTTCTCCTCTGTACTTATTTTCCTTGACTCTGAATTTTCAACTTTTCTTTGCAAACATTTCTCTCTTACTATTTACATTATTGTGGGGGACTTCAGACCCTGGTGGTATCTGCTGAGGTGTAATGAGTGACAGCAGACTGAACACAGGAGCAGAGGCCCCTGTGGGCCCGAAGTTATCCGGGGCATCTGGCTAACACAGGACCCCTGCCCCCGGGACTTTCAGGTCATCAGTGGGTTCCGATGAGTCCAACAAGAGCCTAAAAGGAATGAGGCGGTGGGTCCCGAAGAACCAGGTTATGCTCTGACTGCTCAGGATGTCAGATGTGGGGAGGAAGCGGAACACAGGGTGAGGAGGGTGCCCTTGGAGGTGGCACCAGTCAGCAGAGCCAGGGCAGGAGCAGGGCTCAGGGAGCAGAGGACGCGGGTGGGGCCTCCGTGGCTCCTTCTTTCATACAATAGGTAAGAGATTATGTTTTATGACTGCTCTGGCAGAAAGGTGAATCTAACCCTGCCTGGATTCATGATCATACATTCGTTTTTTCTTCTGATTTAAAAGAAATGAAATTTAAAATGTTTTTCCAGCCCCTGAAGGTACTGTGGGGCTAGGCCTTGCCCGGTGGAGAGGGTGGCCCTAGATGGGGCATTATTTGGAAGGCGCTGCCTCCTGGCACTCACTCTCCCTCGGTAGGAAAAGCAGCTTCTGCCAGCTGGCGGTTTGAGCCGGGGTCCCTCAAGCTTCTGTCATGGGGATCAGGGGGCGGATGAGCTCCATTCAAAGACCATGGAGGTCAGGTGTAGTTCAAGTGCTCCACTTTTCAATGGGAAGTCAAGGCTCAGAGGAGGAAGTCATCTATTTCCAAAATACCTGAGTGGACGTTTAGAGGAAGTGGACTGCTGGCTCAGTCCCCTGGGGTCTGGCAGCGTTAACACGAGAGTTTGTGAGTGAGATCTCACTCTGCAACAGGGCGGGGCCTCGGCCTGTGGAGTCCGCAGACTTAGCAGCCTCCGGCTGTGTGTGGGCCGAGCCTGAGTGCGAGCTTGCCTGGGCACTGCTTGCAAAGAGAGGAGACGTAAAGAATTAAAATGGAAGAAAAATGAGATGGGTGTTTAAACCACTGAAATATGTAATTTGTTATTTTCAAGACTTCTAGAGGCATCAATTTATGTTGTAAAGCGTCTAACAATAAATTTGCATGCTATACCATAGTTACTTCTTTCGTCTTTAAAATAGGTTTCCTGAGACCTCGGCTAAGCAGGGAACCATGAAGAGACAGCAGTAACACTCTGTCTTAAACAATGAAAACAACTTCAGATTGACCCGATCTGGCCCAGATTTGTCACTGTTTTCTGACTGGTCTTTGCTGGGGTGCAGCGGCCAATCAGGCAAACCTTCCAACCGTGCGTTGTAAGTGGGCCTGGCCATGGCCAGCGACTGCTGACGTGGTGGCCGCCACTCAGAGGAAGAATTACCAAAACACACCAAGAAAAAAACGTCTGTAAGTCTGGGGGCTCTCGGGGGCTCTCGGGGGCATCCAGCTGAACCCTAAGTGCTCAAACGACACCATAATGAACTTGAAACATAGCACAGGAGATGTAGCTTAACGGAGTCCCCTCCCGCCTCTGTTGAACTTCACATTTCAAAACATTGCTCTCTACTTCTGAGAAGCCTGCTTCTGGGATGTCCTGCTTTCACGAGAAAGGATGTGATCAATTTAATGATTAATCAAGATCATGCATGGGTATGTTTCACTTTTTTTAATAATGAAAATCCATAAGAGTTTAAAATATTCTTAGACACAGCTGGTTTAGTAAACACCACAGGCCTTCATGTTTCTGAGGATTCACACCGCGAAAGCCAGTACCTTAGTGCTGGTTGGCTCCCTTTGGCACCAGAAGACAATAATTTATTAAGTTTCAATACTTACTGAGTGTGCACAAATATCATGCAAACATATGACCACATCAGAAACAAAAAGTGTATTAGAGTCGCAGACTTATACAAAACATCTTGTAAACAAAAGAGGAGAGGTTGGTATTTTCTGTACAAAATATGCAGGTTTTCACTTTTTTAATAATCTGTAAGATGCATCAGACTTCTGACATTTTCAAAAAGTAAAAACTGTATAAAAATAAATATTCTATGTACAGACACACACACAGGCCAATCCCAAGTTAGAGGCATCACTGCAAAACAAAAACAAACACAAAACAATGTAGAGTTAGTGCCAGTGGGTCTCTGGGTGTTTATTTCCCTCGTGTGAAAGGAGGCAGATCTCCCGGGTTGAATGCGAGTTCAGGGTGGGCAACTGCGGTGGAAGCCCCCGGGGCTGACAGTCTGCACCCTGAGGGTGGGAAGCCACTTTCACCTTCCAGTCATTCCCCTTCCTGGCCACCAGAGGGCACTCTCTGTCTATGCTGCCTTTGGACACCAGGCGGTTGAATTATTGAGCATCGCAGACTGAATTTATGGTGGGAACCAATAGATGCACGAGGCTGTCTAGGTGCTTCTCCAAAACCCTGTAGCTCTAGAGAGTGGCTGTTTCTTCCCCTGCAAAATGCTATCACAGAGTTCCAACAGTTGTGAAACTCTATTCCCTAACCATCAGCATCAATCTTGAAGAAGAAAAGAGGCAAAGGGTGTCACTGGACACACCTCTTACCTGCTTCTGTGGAGCTTTAACTAGGGCTGAGGGAACTCACTGGGGGACGAGACATGGCCAGAGGGGCAGATGCTTGGGGAGGCATCTGCCTTGGGTGCTGCGCTTTCCTTTCTCTGGCGAGGGGCCCTTCAGGTGCCTGGGCCAGTAGCTGCTCCACCAAGGGCCTGGGGTCCTGGTGGTTTCACTACTTCCCCCCAGTCCTCTGAACTGGTGAGGTTCTGGTGTAAAGGAGTGCGTTCAGCCATTGTAGGCATGCCTCTGCTGCCACCGGGGCAAGACTGGCTCAGTGAAGCAGACTCTGGCCAGGCTGGGCCTCCAGCCCTGCCGTGAGGGTGAAACAGCACCTCTAGCCCACGAGGCAGAGGGCTCTGAAAAGTGGGGGCGAGGTGGGGGCGGGCTTCGGTGGCACAGCATGGCAGCTGTCTCCTCTGCTGGGGACCACGCTGGGCTTCTGGGTTAGCAACCCTATGGCCCTGGTCAGGCTGGGGGGCCTTGAGCTGTGGGGGCTGTGGCCGAATGCGGTGGTCATGTGCAAGGGCACAGCCCTTGGGGTCAGAGGGCAAATACCACGGCAAGTGTGAATAAGCGGAAACCCGTGGTTGGAAATTCGGGGCTGCAGGTCTCATGTGCGGATGCAGGATGCTCCGGCAGCGCACACTCAAGGGGAGGGCGGGGTGGTGGGCTGGTCAGTCTCTGCGTGGGGAGATAGAACCCAGGTGGGTCTATAGTTTAAAAATTTTAGATTTCTTATATCTGGATAAATGTCATCACATGGCTTAAATGACCTCAGTGGGACACTATGAGAATAGCTGGTGATGACTAAGTTTAAAACAAGGTCTAGAGCTCCTTGGAGGAAAGGTACTGTGTACGTTAACCACACAAGGCCTACAGCGTCATCTGTGTGGCCACGTGGAAATTCCATACTTCCACTGGGTTTGCCAGTGCCTTAGAAAGCATTTTTCCAGGTTCTGCAAGTGTGTGCCCTGCGTGGGATGTCGAACAGACAGTCTGCCTGGCGGATCGTGCCTGCTTCGACCCATGTCTTGCTGACTCATTTGCAAAGGCCCAGGATGGAAATCGTGCGTGCTTGTCACACTGCGGAGAACAGGGCCCCACTGCACCTGTGCCCGAGGCACAGCACGCCGCTGGGAAGACTGACCTTGTTCCAGCAGCCCTGGACTGGTAAGCCGTCTTCGCCCTGCAGTGAGGGAGGGAAGCACAGGGCTCAGACTCTCCAGCACAACCCACCATGCAGGCAGGACACGGTGACAAGGGCCACGAACACTGTGGCATCTGATCAGGATGCAGCCCACCTCCATAGTCTGTTTCTTTTCTATTATTTCTCCTAGGTCAGGGCCTTGGAAGGATGCAGGAGGCAAGCCCATCAGCTTTCCCATTAGCCTGGGTCACATGAAGTGACAGCGCACGTCCCTGAGCGGCGTCCTAGCCTGAGGGCTCAGCCAGCGGAGGCCCTGTGAGCGCTGTGGAGAGCACTGCCGGTCTCTGCTCGGGCTGCACTGAGTGCTGTGTGCTCCCGACAAGTCACTGCGCACTTGGCCACCTCCGTTCCCTCCTCCGCAAAACCTGGGGAGGGCGTGGCCGTACAAAACCACTGCTAAGGTGCCCCCCAGTTCCCCTGTTCTCTTATTTTTTTTCTCTTCTGTAGCAGTGGAAGGAGGAGATGGAGGCAGTTCCCATCTGATGATCAATAAGAGGGAGCAGGGAGCCCAAAGGGACATGGCCCTGAGGTCCCTTTGGCAACGTGACAGGGGCTTGCTGGGGATCTGGGGAGAAGGTGCGGTGGCAGGATGAGAATAGCTCTGTGCCACTGTCCCCTTTGCTGTTGGCACCCATGGAGCCTGTGCAGCTTCAGGATGTCCTGTGTCCTCTCTGGTGTGCCCTGGGGAAAACCTAGGCGTCTCTGGGAGACAAGGTGGGAGGGGAAGGCTGAATCAGGGCCGAGATGGGGTTCTTGGTCCACCACTACTAGAATCATAGCCCAGATTCTAGAATTCCAGGCTCCAGAGCAGAAGAAGAGATGGACACTGGGTTTCAGGGGACCAGAGCAAGTGGTCAGCCCCAAGGAGGTGAGATGGAAGCCCTCGGGGCCCCAGACCATTTTCTCGCACCCGTGACAGGCACCTAACCCTCTCACCTGGCATCCAGCAGGCGGCCAGCCCCACACAGAGGGCCGAAGAAGTCTGGTTATCTTGTACTAAAAATCATGATCAATAGCACCCCTGCCCCCACACCCACAATCACAAAATGCAGGGGACAGGGAGAACAGCAACGAGAAATACAGGGAAGATAAGTGCACTTCCACAGCAGAATTAATGGGCCAACGACACACCAGTGCGGGATGTTATTGGAGAATACACTAGTTTGCATTAAGGGTCAAGTACACATGACCTTCATTGTCCCCCTGGGTGAGGAACGGTCTGCAGAGGGAGGGGGTGCATTCCAGAGCTTCATGAAGACCTCTTGCCCCCCTCCCCAGCCCGCCATGGCACCCCATTTCCCACGGGCTCTGGAAGGGAGAGGAGCCTCCGCTGGCCACAGTGGCATTCCCGTCGGCACGTGGCTGGTGGCAGGGGTGACAGGGCAGGTGAGGATAATGGTGATGTGTGAGAGAGGAGCAGGGAGGCCAGGGCTGCAGCTGGTAGAATCAAGGGGGAAGCGATGGGGACACCCCGCCCCTGGGAAAGGCACCGGTGTGCGGGACATGCTGGGGGTCAGGGCACGTGCGGGCGGCAGGCGGGGGTTTCGGAGGGGGCACCGGAGGCGTGCCACTCCGAGTGCTTGTGCTCTTCTCCTTTTGTTGTCAGTCTGAAAAAGCCCCTGGAATTTCTTCTAAGGGGCTGTATGGTCATCTTTGGGGTCAAACAAGTGTATTTTTAAAAATAGTGTTTTCTCTTCTGCTCAGAGATAATTCCGGCCTGACCCCAGGGTGGGGATGTGGGGCCTGGAATTCTCATCTGACTGAACTCCAGCCTCCTGGGGAGAGTTAGGACCGGGAGCTTTGAATCCATTGCCTTGGAATGAAGCGGCATCTTCTACTTCCTTTGCAGTAAGTTGAAAGGGTTGCTGTGGAGGTCCCGCATGTCCCATCCTAGACAGGGACTGGGCCAGGTGGGGACAGACCTGCTGCCTGCCCTAGTCTGGGACGTGCTTGGGAGAGGGGTCCTAAGTGTCTCCCACCCTCCCCGCCTCCTCTCTTCTCTTCCTTAAATACATCCTCAGCCTTTCCTGCTCTTCCGGACTTCTCAGCAGTGAGCCAGCTAAAGATGAAAGAAAGGGGAACCCAGGGAGGGTCTTGTAATATCTTTTGGGACTTAAGCAAAAAGGGCAAACCCTTTAGGGTCTAAAATCTCTAGTTCAGGCAGAATTACCAGGGCAGCAACCCCAACCCCAGCCCCAGCCTGATGGAATGGCCAGGATGGCCTCCTTCCCTACCTGGGGTCTAGAACTTCTCTGTGTGCCCTGTGTTTATAAAAGTGCCCATCTGTCCTCTGCCAAATCATGAGATGCTGTAGCAGGAAGGGACGTGGGGCTGACTAGGGCGTCTGGTTAAACGCTGTGCCGGGTGCTCAGCCAGTGCTTTCCGAGCTGACTGCAGTGTGTGAGGGAGGAGAAGTCACGGTCCCTAAGCACCTGTCCAGAGAATCCACTTTCCTAGTTATCTCTGTGGTGGCAGATGGTCTAGAGGCAGTTCTGAAAGGTACAGCCGATGCTGGCCTCAGGTGGGCAGGGATGGCTCACACTAAGGTGATGTGCTTTCCAAGCTGCTGCAGGAGAAAGCCAAGAAAACATCTGGCCAACTTTGCATGCAAGAGGTAAGTGTGGCGGGAGCCCCCGAGGACCCGTCAAGGCAGGTGGCCCTGGGTGTCTACAGAGGGAAGGGGCAGGAAGTGGAGACTGAATGGATGGAGCAGGAGGGGGTGGGGGGTGGCTGGAAAGCGCTCAGGCACAAACCACACACGTGGGGAAGCCCAGACTGGCCGTGCAGGCAAGGAAGGGCAATGCCATACCAGTGGGCATGGGGCATCCAGTCCGTCCAGCCCTGGCTCCCCTGGCTCCCCTTTCTCTCCTTTAAAACCTCGGTGTCCCTGTTCACAAAACCAACCACGATGATTATTCAGGTCCAGGCTGGCCAGCTCCGACTGTGGAGCAGAGCGGCCCAGTCCTAGCCCAGCCAGGATGCAGGACCTTCGAGGTGTCTGGAGGTAGGGCCCCAAGCAGTTGTGTCCCGTTGCCTAAATTCAACCTCTACCCTTTCTTTGGCCTCCAGGGGGAGTTTAGCTTTGAAACATGTACAGTAAGCCCCCTCTCCCTTGACAAATCCCCTCGGAGTAAACACAGATGAATTTCCATGTTAGTGCATTCCATAATGTTCAGGCTGAGTGTTCAAACAATTCTCAGTCTTCAAACAGACTGAGAAGGCACTTGGGAGGCCAGTGGACGTGCCACGAGGCATTCCTCATTGGCTCATTCGGGAAGGTTTCCTGGGGGATGTTTGTTTACTGATTCTGGTCTGCAAGTTTTGGCTGGTGGCTGGTGGGTGTTGGAAAACTGTCTATTAAAAGCCCGCTTTCTGGCCTTGTTTTGCCCACTAGGGGCATGGGGGCCCCCAGGAGATGCTAAGCCGGGCGTCCTGCATCCTGACTGGGCAAGGATGCCAACAGCTCGAACTGCTGGCTGCAGAGGTGGCCTCGAGACGAAGAAGGCAAACGCATGGCTCCCAAATGCTACCCTGGCTTCCAAAGCCATCCTGGAGCCAAGAGCCAAGACCTCCAGAATCCCTTTCCTCAGGGTCTCTCCACTTCCACACATCAATTGTTCTGCTTCAAAGGAAAGGGATTGAACCAGAATGACTTGCAGCTGTGGCTTTAAGGCAAAACCAGCAGCAGGCAGCATTTCAGCGGCCAAGTGCCCAGAGAGGTTGGGTAGCTTCAGTGCAGTCATTCGGTTCTCGTCTTAGTTTGTTTGCCTTCTTTGTTTCCAGCTCACAAACCTCAAGGAAAAAATCAGAACGAGGCAAGTGGTAAATGAAAACATACCAACGGACAGGGGGCATCTAGTCCAGGCGCTCCTTGGTCTCCCTTATCCCCTTTAGGCCCTCTAGAGCCTTTCTTCCCCCTCTCCCCCTGCAAATAATGGTTTAGTCCGAGAAAAAAAAAAACAACATCAAAACTTTAGGATCATTCATGTGTGAAGGTTAGAAACAGAAAAATAGAGAGATTAAAGAGGAGAAAAATAGCTTCTTTCAATTAGGATAGTGTCTCCGCAGCAGGATTTGGGGGCGGTACTCACAGCCGCCCCTCCAGGAACCTGGGGGCTGGGCTGAGGCGGGCGGGGAGGGGCAGGGCGGCGCTCGAGGCCTGGGAGCAGGGAGCAGCAGGGCTCCCAGGTGCAGATGGAAGGCACCGGTGGCCAGTTGTTAATACTGAGCCCACAGTGGGTCTGTGGGAAACGGGGACTCACTTCCTTTTATCTGAGGGTCCATTTTTGAGAGACTTTTGCTTGACAATTTTTGTCCCAATTGGTTTTCCTCTCTTTGATGTTCTTTTAGGTGGCTGGGTGATTTTTGTTTAGAGCCCTAGGTGTGTGTGTGTGTGAACAAAACACACATGAACATGTGCACACACACGGTTGTGCATATATGCACGAGTGCATGGGTACATGCGTGAGTGTGCGTACATACATCTGTGTGCTTGGGTGTGTGTACAACAGCGAGCGTGTCTGAGCATGTGTACATGTATGTCCAGGGTTCACGTGTGGCCCCTGGTTCTCAGCTGCTCCTTCCATTCCATGTGTCTCTGGTCCATCTGGTCTGAAGCCACACACAGCTATTCATACTTGGACAAGGTGGTTCAAGGAATTTGCTTGTTTCTGAAAAGCTTTAGTAAACTTCATCTTTCTGAATGGAATGAACACTATTTTGCATGTGTCAGAGTCACTCTCTGTGTAAAGACAGGCTGTAGGGAATTCTTTGCAATGAATTTGACTTTGGATTTTCACAGGTTGGGATTCCTTATGAAGGGGCCAAGTGTGTCCCAAGGGAGTCTTCCTGGGAGCGCCCATCCTCCGCTGCAGGAGGCCGATGGCCCGCTGCTCCCTCCCGCAGCGTTACTCCAGCATCACGAGACCTTGAAGGAGGGCAGCCTACTGATCAGGGCAAAAGCTTAAAGCCAAAGCAGGTTCTGACTATTATCAGCAGCATGACTTGGGGAGGTTACTTAATCTCTCGGAGCCTCAGTTTCTTCACTTGTAAAATGGGGGAAATAACACTTACCTCAAAACTTTGTTGTGCGGTCTTTGTGTTTATTGAGCGCTTAATGTTGGCACATAGTATGTGCTCAGTAAGGGATAGCTGCCTCATACTAACAACAGCAACACTTATTATTTCTTTTTAGCTAGTATAAAGCTGCAGGCTGCCACCAGAGGTATGTGGCTGTGCCGTGGCTGCTGTGTTACCATGGTGGAAGGGTTTGTTCAAGGGAGGCAAAGGGTAAGGATGTTTTTGATGTTTCCCGGGACCTTTGGAAATTAATCAAATTTCTTGGTGCCTGAGGTCCCTGTAATTGCCAATGCATTGTTCTGAGTTTTCTAAAATGCAAATGCCTACTTAGAAAATGATACGGGTTTAAGAGGAAACACATACATGCCTGTGAGGCCTGGTGCATTGGCTCTGAGATACTCCCGCCAATGAGCATCACGGCACGAACATTCCTCAAACAGCAGGCAAGCAAAACTGCCGGCTGCCTCGCTGTTCGCTGTTCGGAGGGGAAGCCCCACCAGGGCAGCCTTTCTCAGGAATGGGGCCCGTCACTCTCCTTGGGCGAGGCCAGGGTAAAAGTGAGTGCGGCTTCCTGAGCTCAGAAGTGGGAAGAGCTCCCACAGACAGGGGATCCCAAGGTCCCGGATGATCTGCCTGTGGGTGGCAGAGGGTTGGCCCGGTCCTGACTTTCAGGGCCGGTATATGTGGCATCGTATTCTAAGGGCACAGGAAATGGCTTTAAATGGGGTGCCCTTTGAAGATGTTAGAGGGGGGAGTGGCTCTAGCTGCATCCTCCCTGCTCCCGGAGACGCCCTGACCCAGAGGGAATTCTAGCTGGCACAGGGAAAGGGGCAGATAAAGTCAAGCTGCAGAAGTTTCTCTAAATAAAATAAATAAATGCACAAAAATTGGTTTTAGAGGAAAGAAATCGAAGCTGGGAGAGTGAAAGGGACAGGCTGAGGGATATAGCAGTGTTATAACATAGTGAACAACATGGTGGGGGGAATAAATATTGAAGAGGTAAAGGGAGGAAGAGGCTGGCCCAGGCCCGAAGAGATAGTGGGGGAAGGACAGGTAAGAAGGCAAGAAGGCCTGGGGGAGCGAGGCACTCACGTGTGCACACAGGCACACGCATGTGCACATGCTCACACCCGCACACCCATGCGCACACATGCACCCCCCCATGCCTCCCTGTCACTCCTCTGAGAGTGACAGTGGCCTCGTGACACACACTCAGACCTTTCAGTTGGCTGTGGCTTGCGGGCAGTGCCACCTCAACACCAATTTTTCCAGTGCCCGAAGTGCCAAATCCACACTTTGGTTTATCATTTGATAGACTCTTTCATGCTAACAGTGGCTCCTGGGCCAAATTTACAGGGCTGTGAAGGGACAAGAACAGTGTCCTTAGTGACAAGGACAGAACATTCCTTTTGCTGGCTTGTGCGTCCCCTCAGAAGACTGCCTGTTTGGGGCTCTGAGCCTTGCTCCCTGCAGCGAGGACCGTCCTCCTTCCATGAGCAGCAAAGAGGCTACAAGACCGTCCTCTGGTGGGACATGGAGGAGCAGGGTTTAGAGACTGCGTCTCAGGCCACTGTTTGATGTGACACCAGGCCCGTGGAGCCCGTGCCGGGGCCTCTCTGATGGGGTCCCCAGCATGATGTGTGGTGAAAGCTGGGTGCTGCCCCACCCACAGCCACCCCACACCCACACCCAGGGGGGAGGGGGCCCCAGCATCTCCAGCCTCACCACCACAAGCAACAGTGAAACCTTAGACTCTCATCTAAGCCCTCCCGGCCTCTCACCTTGACCGAAGTGTCAATATTCTGAGCTTGTGACTCTTCCTGGACCTTTCTTTGTTGTGGAGGATTGGTTTCCAAGCCCTCACATCTCCCCGCAAAGTCCTACTGGGCCAGTGGTGTAAAGCGGTCTGAAGGAGGAGGTGGGGTGTATGTAGAGGAAGCCCCTCGGGGCATCCTGGCATCCTGGGAGTCAAGTCTCCTGGAAGGCGAGAATAAGCTCTTCCTGGATTCGGCCACCGGCTCTGTGGAGTAAGGCAGTCGGTTCTCGGCCGTACTCAAACGAGGCTGTGCAGCTTGTCTGCTTTCGGGACTTGCCTGAGTGACGTGTTGATCATTTATATGTGAGGTGGGGGAACGTGTGTAAAACCGTAGAAGAGGGGAGTGGAGAAGGAGTATTTCCCATTCATTCCTGGGGCCACACTGGCTCATTCACTGGCCTTAGTTCCTTAAGCTCAGAGCCCCCAGCCGCCCGCATGCCCTCCACCTGTGACAAGGTCGCCTGCCTGCCCCGCCTCCACCTCTAAAGCAACGCGTTCACCACTTGGGCTGGTTCTGCAGCCCTCAAATGGCTCAGTGCCTCAAGCCAACTGAAAACATCTTACAAAAATTAGTTTACAAAGTATTAATTGAATATAATAAAGAGAACTAGAACACTTTAGAAATAAATTAGAAAGGAGGTTAGTATGCCAACAGGAAGGTGGAATGATCAATTTTTTTAGTGGCCTGAATTCTTCGATGCCACAGGAATGAAAGTGGGCTTCCCAGCCTGCCTGAACAGGCCGGCGCGTTTCTGGAGGTGGGTCTGTTTATTCCAGTGGTTTCTAGACTCTGCCTTCCCATGGACAGTCTGCTGCGGGCAGTGCATGGGACAAACTGAGGCTTTTGACCAGCTGCCAGAGAGGAGAACTTAGGGCTATGGACGTGCTCAATAAATGCATCTTACTTAGAAGAGACAAGAACTGGTGCTGGATGTAAGTGTACATATTCCGGCACTTTCTGCTCGTGGTCATGGCCATCAGTGTTCGGAGACCGGCCAGGAGATTTGGGTTCCGCCTGTAACTCGTGCTAATTCAGTGCAGTTTGTCATCATTCTGGGCCTGTTTCTCTGTCGCTTCTTCCACTCTCCTCTGCCTCTGAGACCCCTGAATACACAGCCCTCTAGAAGAGGGGGTGTGCGTGACACCCTCAGAATCACTGTGACGCAGCAGCACCTGGGACCTTCTAGAAAGAAACCATAGGCCATGTCTTGGCCAATGGAATGAAATGGTCCCTGCTGGGACCCAGTACGTCACACGTCACACACATGGCATGCATCATATACCAGGACACAGCTGTGGGTGCTGTGGATATTCAATGGTTGTGTCCCAGCGAAGATGGTAGAAGCCCAGGGGGGAGCACAGTCATTTCAGAGTCCTGCTGACTTTCCCAGAGAACTGGCGGCTGTGGTGGTGCCGGCTGCTTACAATACAGTCTTCTCATTCCCGGACCTGGACTTTATCTTCTCTCCTGCCAGTGGTCTGGGGTGCCTGGCAAAACTGAGTTTTGGAGGCTAGGACTAGGTAACGACAGCTTTAAAAATATCATTTAGGGGCCATGATCAGGGCCCAGAAGAGAGAGCTGGGCACGTGACTCCCAGCTCTCACTGCATGGCAATGCTAATCTGGTGGCCACTGCAGGGTTCAGTCTCCCCTTGTCGGGCAGAAAAATACATGTTTCAATTTCAGAATCAGGCCCCAGGCTCCCTGCATGCCACAGATTAAGCCCCTTGCTATAAAGCCTTTTAATTTGCAATGATTTATCAGGAAAAACTATTTGCCATGTTGGGTCAGGAATCCCCAATTGGTCATTCCACCACATCATGAAGACATTAGTAACCGGAGCCGAAGTGTGTGGGGGTCAGACTCACCCGGTTTCCTTTGTCCCCGGGTGGTCCGTGCAAACCCTGCAGTAAATCAGAGAAATGGAAACACGTTAATGAGAAAACACAGGATGGCTGGACAGCCCTTCCTTCCAGGCTCATAAAGTCCTTCCCCAATGCCTAATTTATCAAAGACAGATTTAATTATCCCCATTTTACAGAATAGGAAAAAAAGGGCTCAAGGAACTTAACCTAGCGACAAATCATGAATTATGGGCAAAGCCAAGAATGTGCTTTGGTGTTTTGCTCTGCGGCCAACATCCTGCCCTGTTCACTCAAGCTGAGGGGTGCTGGGTGCTGAGGCCACAGTCTGGGTAGAGAATTCTCCAGGCAGGGAGGCGTCTGGAGAGCCTCCTCAGCCAGGCTCTTGCTAGATGAACGGCTGCGAGGCTCCTTGGACCCTCGCTGTGAGGAGCACGCTGCTCTGCAGGTCCTCGACCAGGGGAAGGAGCGGAGGCCGAGGCCGGCGGGGACTGCCGACTTAGCCAGAGCAAAGCCGCCCGGGCAGCCAAGCACGGAACCAGTGAACTGATGGACAGCCTTTGAGTGGATGAGGAACGAAGGCCTGGTTCTCTTAGGCAATCGCCTTTTTTTTTTAATGCAGTGGGAAAACCATCCCTTGGGAAAGCCGCCCCTCTCCTTCCTGCATGTTGGTGATTTGGATTTGACTCTGCACGCCCCTCCCTGCCCCTCCTCCCCGCTGCCCCTTGAGGGCAGGGGCCTCCTGTGAGACCCCTCTGCATCGGACACAGAGGCTCACAGTGGACGAGGCTCATGATGAGTTTGCTACATCCCATAAGGTCACCTACACGGCCGAGGACCTGGCTCCCGGCAGGGACAGCTGAGCAGTGCCCAGCAGCTTTCTGGTCATGGAAATGAGAATTCTGGTCCAGCTCTAGATTTTTTTGTAGTAAACTCTGGGTATTAAAAAGAATTTTTTTTTTACTTATTAATTTCAGAAAGAGAGAGAGAGAGAGACAGACATCAGTTTGTTCTTCCACCTATTTATGCACTCATTGGTTGATTCTTGTATGTGCTCTGACTGGGGATTGAACCCACAACCTTGGCACATCAGGACGATGCTCTAACCAGCTGAGCCGCTGGCCTGGGCTGGGTATCCGGTTTTGACGGTGTTTCTGGTGGTGGCTAGGGGTAGATGAGGAGACCCCCTACCCCGTGGAACTTACAGGAAGCCCAGCTGCTCCCGTTGGTCCTGTCACTCCAGGGTCGCCTTTGCTGCCCTGCAACAGGAGAAGGAAGACCATGACCCTTCTGGATGTAGTAACAACCTTCCCTCCACTATTTTCTGTTTTCGACCTGAGTCTCCTCCCCAGTTCCCTCCAGCAGCCCTCCAGGAAGCAAGGGTGGGCGACCGGTATGGACCCCCTGTCCTGGGAGGCGGCTTGGAGGCCCCGCTCCCTCCCCCCAGCACAGCCTACTCCCCAAAGGCCTCTGGGAGGACAGGGACGCGTGCGGGGGCACTGGCTGGCCAGAGGCAGACGCAGGAGAGGAGGCTGAGGAAGCAAACCGGTGTGAGCATGGAGGCCGGGGAAGAAGAAAGGGAGAGAAAGGGCTGTGGTTTCTTCTTTGAAGCTCTAAGTGTCGCCCCTCAGAGCAACCAGCCTGGCTGAGGGACGGCACCCCTCCTGGCCCGCCTGGGAGGGATGGGTGAGGCCGAGCCTGCCGGGGCTGGCGTGGGGACCCTGTGGGTCGAAGGTGGCAGGGCCGAGGACATGAGGCTGAGGCGGGTCGCTCGGGCTCCCGGCTCCTGAACACTCACCCTCTCGCCCTTTGGTCCCGCGGGGCCTGGAACTCCAATTGGTCCTGGAGTACCCTGGGGAGGTGAAAGGAAGCAGAGGTGAGGGTCTGGATGCTGGGGGAGCCCTGGAACCCCACCCAAGCCTGGAGAGCAGCAAGGTCCAGCGGCCAGTTTTCAGGGTTGGCGAGGCCAGGCGCAGTCAGGGTGGTCATCCGACTGAGCTGTGTCCCTCAGCCGTGACTGGCAGTTCGGGTTTGGGGGCCTCGGGGAGGGACAGTCTCCCCTGCCTCAGAGCCAGATTGGAGAAGGAAACCCTTCCGCTTCACCACCAAGCTTGCCAAGGCTGAAAACGGTAGGGAAATGGCTGCTTAGTTTGCTCCCAGAAGCGCTTGGGAGGGAGTTGACACCATCCCAGGGGTGGGGGCCAGCACCCCTTTGCTGTCGCAGCTCCACATGCAGCGGGAGGGTCTTCATGCCACAGAGACCGATGCAGACGCACACACAGAGGCAGGCGTGGGAGGGTCATTCAGCCAACGCCCACCCCGCCCGCCCCCGCTGCGGCCAAGGCCTGCCCTTCAGCCTCTGGCTGGACCAGACCATCTGTCCCCGCTCCCGGGCCCAGTGGCACAGGGTGGGTTGGAGAGCGAATCAGTATGGCCTCCATGTCTGCTGGCCCTGGCCTGGAAGGGAGGCGTGTCCTCAGCCCTCCTCGCTCAGGGCAGGGGGGAGGGGCGGGGGCTGGGGGCGGGGCAGCCAGAGCTGCCTGGCCCTGTTGCTCAGAGACAGAGCAGGGCTGGCTATGGTGTAATTAAACACCTTCCCCAGGTTCCCAGCCACAGTGCAGCTAGACGGAGTCTATATTTCAGAGCTTCCTACTGCTCTGCCTCAGGGCCTGTGTGTCCTGCTCAGACAGCAGGATGCGTGGCCGGGCCTCTGTATGGTCCTCGGTGCCACGAGTGGCCGGGCAGGAGTGGGTGGGGAAGTGCCGATTTACAGTACACGGGAGAAAAATGGCAAAAAGACATTCTCAGTGCTTCCTCTGCAGTGTCGAGGTCAGAAGGGAAAGCTGTGGGCGTGTGTGACAGAAACGCGTCACACGTGAGAGAGGCCAGGTAAGAGCAACGGTTCGGACCAGGACTCCAGAGTCACTGGCTGGCCTCAGGTCCTGCCTTGCAGGCTCCTAACTCTGTGATGTTGCAGACATTTCCTGGCCTTTCTGAGGGTCAGTTTTCCCACCTGTGAAATGGGGGCGATAACACGTGTCTGCCCTTTGAGCCACACTGGATGGCCCATACCTGTTAGTGTGGGCAGGGCGGGATGACTTTTCCCATAAGAATTTTCCTTTAAGGTTATGACATCAGTTTTATGAAAAACTAGATACCCAGGTCCAGGGGGACAGAATACATGAGTCTGCGCTGCTCCCCTCTGTCCTACACGAATGGAGTCCTGGTTTCTCTGACTCCGGCCGCAGACCACCTCCCTGGCCCTGACGCGCAGGTGCGAGGAGATCAGCCGGAGGGACTCCGGAGCAAAGCCGTGACAATGCTCCCCAGACGGCCTCCTCTCCACTGATGAGTCTTTAACTTTAGGTTACAGACTAACCGTGCAGTCGGGGAGGCCCCGGGAGGCTGCTGCTGTGGTGATGTGACACCTCCCTGGGCCCTGAGTGCATGTCCCCTCCCCCAGTGGACCCTGCGAGTTCTCTTCTTCTCTCAAGTGTCCCTCTAGCCAGCTCACTGGAACCTTGGCCTCTGGGCAGGGCGAGTGGCTGCGGCCTCAGAAGCATCCTGCAAGGCAGAGCTGAGCTTCCCTGGCAGGAAGGGGCTGGGCCCACACACAGCTCTGGTTACAGCTGTGTCCAGCCTCCCAGCCCGTGGTGGCCAGTGACACCAAGACCATGGGAAGGGACAGGCTTCGACTGGGGCGCCGCTGCCCCGAGGACTTCATGGGGTGTTCTGGGAGGAGGACTGGGAAGTGGAGAGGAGGGACTTTTTTTTCTGATGTTTCAGTTGTTCGTCAGAAAAAAAAAAAAAGAAAGAGCCCAGGCCTGTGTGGCTTGGTTGGTTGGGCGTTGTCCCACAAACTGAAAGGTCGCCAGTTCGATTCCTTATTGGGGGACATGCCTGGGCTGCGGGTTCGGTCCCCAGTCAGAGCACATATGGCAGGCAACCAGTCGATGTTTTTCTCTCACATCAGTGTTTCTCTCCCTCTCTTTGTCCCCCACTCTCCTCTCTCTAAAAATGGAAAAAATAAAAAATAGTAAAAAAGAAAAGAAAAGAAAGCCCAGGTGGTCTCTAGTCATGAGTAGGTGAGGTGTGTTTTCTGGAATCCAGGAAAACACAGAAAGAGGGGACCGGGTGCCCGTCAGTTAGCTCTGCATGAACCCTCGTGTTGGGACGGACGAGCATGGTGGACGGGAGGGGAAAGGCAGCGGTAACCTGCCCGCGGGACACCGGGCTGGACCCGCACGTGTGCCCCTAGATGCTGGTCTGCCCTGCCACTCCGCTGTCCCCACCCCGTTCCCAGCAGACTGGCGGGCAGACAGGAGGTGGACAGAGGTCACAGGAGGACAACGACACGGCATGACGGGCACACACAGACACTGTTTGTTCGGTGGGGTGCGTCACGGCCCAGACCCCCAGGGCTGGGCGCCCGGCCTGAGCTCAGCGTGCGTTTAGGAGGAGTCTGTGTTGCTGGACAGGGACGCCCACTGCGTACCCAGTGGTCTAGAAATTCGGGTTGCAGGGCCTGGGGTGCGTACCCCGAGCAGGGAAATTTAGAGGAAGGCCAGCCATCTTGGGTCAAGAGGCCAGAATAAGTGCTTCTAAGGCGAGCACGTGGGTGCCTTCCTGCCGTCAGCAGTGGGTGAGGCACGACCCACTGGGAAAGCGAGGCCAGAGTGGGACAGACAGAGGGATCACAGGCCGGGGGTGGGGCGAAGGGTGATGGGGAAGCGACACTCACCGGTGGCCCAGGCCTGCCGTCCAAACCTGAAGCTCCCTGGACAAAGGGGACAGTTTGACCGAAGGAAGGGAAGGGAGGAATGGGAGGGAGAAAAAGGGACCAGGGAGGGAAGAGGTGAGTGAAGCAGCGACTCTGGACAGACATAAACACTGGTCATCAAACAAAACGGGGGAGGCGAGCTTGGGAGGACAGCGGTGGTGTTCACACGGAGACCAACAGAACACGGAGACGCCGGGGCAGTGTGGCCGGCTGCCGAGCGCAGGTGGTTCCCCCTGTGCCCCTCTGTCCTCACGTCCCCTCTCGGACAGCCCTCCCCAAAGGGCAGTGGCATACCAGGCAAAGGGACATAGAAAGGGAATCCGTGGGGGGTGTGTGTCTGGAACCTGAGCTCGTGCATCCTTCCCAGGACCAGTCTCCCTGGGGAGAAACAAGCCTGCTCGGAGGGTGGGGACCTGGTGAGGGCGATCTGTTGAGACTAGGCCACGCCGGAGACCCTGAGAGGCTTGGCACTGGGTTACAGTACCCGGTTTAACACCTGATTGGTGCTCCTACTCCAGCCAGGTGGGAGGAGTTGACCCTTAAGTAATGGCGTTACTGATGCCTGGCATTTCTCTGGACCTTCACCGTTTGCAGGTCTCCACATGAGCCCTAGCCATTCACATTACCCTAGACAAGGGCTCTTTTACAGAAAAGGGCTTTGGGCGCAGGTGACCGGGACAGAGGTCAAGGCCATGTGTGCCCCGGAGTAAAGGGGCTACAAGGCGGGCAGCTGTTGAGATCCACTCCCTATCTGGTGTCACGTGCAGTGGGAGTGGGAGCTCTTCTCCATCCTGGGGCTACAATGCTAACCCTGAGACCCACCTTGGAGAGCCAGGGGAACATTGTCTAATGATTCCAACGTGACAAGCCAGAGAGACGGGAGCAGGACACTCGATCTCAATTAGACCCGAGTTCTTGAAAACTGCTTCCAAATGAGCCTCAAGAATGAGCCTAGGCCTTAGGATTTTAGAGGTGAGGGAATGCCCCCAGGAAAGAGGGGCAGGGAGCTGCCTCCCCCCGGGGAATGGGTGTTGGCTGTAGGAGTCCACGGGGTCTTGCTTCTCAGTTTGAGGACCTCCGTGATTCTGGGGTGGTCTGGACTCATGTAGGCAGCTGTGGTTCTCAGTCCCAGCTGCAGCAGCAGAATTTTCTGGGTGTAATGTAAAGGAATACAAATGCCTGGTCCTCCCTCAGCCCAATTCAACCAGAGTCTGCCACAGTGAGGCTGGGGTAATGGCAAGTAAGAAAAGGTCCAGGTGACTCCAAGGTGCAGCCAGTGCTGAGAACCACTTCTGTAGGGCGAACAGGAAGGAGTCAATGGGGTATGTCTGGAAACACATGCTGCTAGTGTATGGAATAGAGGGATGAGGCCAAAACACAGAACTAAATATCCACAAACTCTGCCCATTCACGTTAACACTGAGTTATCTCGAGAGGCCTGGAGCACAGGACATGAACTGGAAGTTTTCAGGCCCCATGTAGGCCACTGACATACTTTGTATGGTTGGTAGTGTTGTAAGTAATTTTGATTTAATGTAAGAAAATAGGGATATTTCACATAAAATGCCAGATGTCCAGCTTCCTTTGAAAAATTAGAAGATCCAAAAATATCGGACCTTCACTTTCCTAAGGCAACACAGCTGAACTGAAAAGGGGCTGATCTCCTAAGAATGGACGCATGGTCTCTGGGTGCCGCAGTCCCCACCATCCCTGTTGTCTCTGAAGCCCATGTTAATTGCACTTATGAATGTGTTTGCTCTGTCGTTTTCTTAAGCTAGCAAAAGTATTTCTCTGTACCCATATCTCTTTTAAAAGTAGAACAGTTAAAGGTGGACTGGATACTTTGTCGTTCCCCTGGCATTTTCTTTGTTGATATTATTTGTTCAGTCTCTGTGCCGTGTGTATTTTGAATGAGTTCTCCATGTTCAGAGGGTTGTTGGGGCCATGATGGTGGACAAGGAGAGACTCCTGGTTGAGTAAGGAGTGCTTAATCATCCCAGGCACAGCTGAAGACATGGGAAAATGCCTGCTAAACTATCAGTTTTCTGTAGCCTGCCAAGCAAATCAGCTCCTTGAATGTTCCTACTTTTGATGCACTAATGAGGGTGTAGTTATATCTTTCCTCTTGCTTTTTGGTTGCTGTGATTATATTAACCAGACCTTCAAGCTCTGCCAAGCTGGGGTAATTGGGCTTCCCATTGTCCCCCTGCCCTTCCTGGGGTGGGGACTGGCCTGGTGCCTGGGACAGAGGAAGCTCCGGTGGCTGGAAAAAGCCCCTAGCGAGGCTGTGGCCTCAGTGGAGGAGCAGCCTGTGGCCCAGCCTGGCCACCGACGTAATGCGCGGCCTTGAGTGACCCACTTTCTTCTCTGGGCCCATCAGTAAAATTATTAGATGGATCACTGAAACCCCTCCCAGCTCTTGAAAAATAAACTAAAGTGAGCGCCATCCTCACTGGAGTGTGAGGGAGGTAGAGTCCAGTGTGGTAGGGTGTGCTCACCTGCACAAGGTGAGCAGGCCATCAGCCCATTGGAGCTGGGGGCAGAAGGGTTTGCCCAGCCCAGGCCCCACGTCCGGAAGGGTCTTCTGAGCAGCCCTTGACCCTGACCTGCAGCCTCCAGCCCTGGGCAGGCAGAGGTCGGAGATCTCAGGCAACTGGGACCTTGCTGACCTTAGCCAGCGGAGACCAGGGAATCTGACTTTTTATAAGCTTTTCTCCTGTGGCCAGTGCTGAAGAGCAGAGATCAGGGGTGTTTTTGGGGCCGCTCCAGGAAAATAGAGGAGTGATGGAGCAGACTCCACGGTCCCACCACTACCAAGTTCTCCAAGCGTGGCCCTGGTAAGGGCAAACCTTCATTGCCTCTGAATCTGGCACACACAGGGCCTGAGGCTGTTCTCAAGCCATCTCTGACTCTCCAGCTAGGTACTGTTTGGGGTAGGGGATCCTGGCTTACTCAGCTTCACATGTCCCCACACTGAAGCCAGGGCCTGGCCCAGAGGAGGCCTCGGTAAGAGAATCAGAGCCTGTGGTCTTGCCCAGGTGGGAGAGCAACACCACGCCAAGCTCTGGAGTGTCCAGCCCCAGTCAGCGCCGCCTGGCTGGGTTCCTCTCAGCAGGCTCGCTGGGCCGAGATACTTACGGGCAATCCCAGAGGACCTCGGTCTCCTTTTTCTCCCTGGACACCCTTCTCTCCTTTTGCTCCATCTAGGCCTGCTTCTCCCTGAAGGAAATGGAGATGAGGGAGATCACAGGAGGGCATGTCTGAGACAAGTCACTCGTGCATTCCGAGGTCCTGGAGATGGGAGTGGGTGCAGGACAGGGGGGCAGTAGAGGAGGGAGGAGGTGGGGGTGCCTGGCCGGGGGGTGGCAGGCTGGACGCTCCAAGAATCCCTGACTTAGCCTGTCTCTGTCTGGCTAGAGTCCCCTGTATCCCTGTAGAAACCTGGAGGTCCCCCAAAAGAGAAGAGATGGTGGAGAGGACACAAATCCATGTGGCTTTGGCATGGGTGACGCTTTGCATGGCAGGAAAACTTGGACCCTTCAGAGGCTGGCTGGCAGATGCCTGAAATCACCACTGGAGCTCTGAGGCTCCCAAACTAACTGGGCGAAAAACTGCCCAGTGGTCCCTTGAAAAACGTGAGGGCAGGAGACGAGGGCTGTTGTTGTGCCAGCAACTCAGCTCCTCTTCTCTATTTGAAACGCTTTCGGGGGAGAGTGGGAGGCCCCCGGCCAGGTGCAGTGGGCTGGGGTCCCAAGGAGGGTCCCCCACCACGACACTCTTTGTCCCCCCTCAACCTGTACTCCAGGGGGAGTGGAGGGTCTGAGGCAGGTTGCATGGGAAAAGGCTTTTATCGTTTGTCAACAATAGAACCTGTCATTCCATAGGGTCGATTGATGGATGGGAAACTGTTAAATCTGAAGCCTGCCCAGCATCAGTGATGGATGTACGAAGGGTCCCAGGACTCCATTCTGTCCTGATCATGCCCCACCGCCGAGTGTCACATGGTTCCACCCAGGGAAGGGGTCGGCTGGGCTGTGCCCCTTTGAAGCACTTTCCCTTTTTCTCTGCTTTTCTGCCCTCACTGATGAAGTCCTCTTTTCCCCTGCCCCTCACCCGCACCTGTCCATGACCTCTTCTTACCTTTGGTCCAGGAATGCCTTGGGGCCCCTGCATTTGGAATGAAAACAAGATGCCTCAGAATTGCATTTCTGGTTAAGTAAAAAAAAAAACCCCAAAAAACAAAACAAAACCCTTGTTCACAATTTGGACCACAAAAGTGCAGGGGCTTAAGGTGCAGAGCGTGGCCTGGGGCCCTGCCCAGGGGAGGCAGAAGGGAATGCTAACTGGGGTTTGCACTGGGGGCTCCCCGGGGCGCGGTCTGAGCCAGGCTTCCCCAGCCAGGGACAGAGAGAACCTTTCAGTGCCCCCGAGGCCGACCCGGAGTCCCGGAAAGAAAGACTGAGAGGACGCACAGCAGAAGTTGACTAAATGGTTGTACTCAAAGGGCTCAGAGCAGTGTCTGGCACACAGTGACTTAAGTTACAATAAATGTTGGCTACTGTCATTGTCACTGCTACTACGTCCACCTGTGCCTTCGGATGACAGGGTGCCACAGGAACATGACCCCCCCCCAGAGGCAAGGACTAGCATCTGTGGGGTTAGGGTGCTTGGGGGGCCCTCTAGGTGCAATGCCGAGGGGGCTTTTTAAAGGCCTTGTCTTATCACCCATAACCATGGAACCACTGGATGCAGTGGGACTGGTTTTGAATGGGCCACTTTCTATTCTAATCCTGGTCTTCTTGCTGGTTGGTTAGCGGGAAGAAGGAAGGAGAGCAGCAGATGTCTGATGGCAAAGGTCAGGGCTTGGTGACAAAGAGACTCCTGCAGGGCAGTGGGACTAGATCCCAGGGCTGCATGCCAGTCAGCTGTTTCCAAGACACGGGGCAATGTCCGAGCTCCTCAGTGTTGCCGGAATGGTACCTATTTAACATGGGAGGAGGAGGTGACAGTGACCCGGTGCTGAGGCTGAGCCCAGTGACTACCATGGGGAGGGGACATTAGGGACCCGGTCACAGTAGACGGAAGTACAGATGAGCCCTCCAAGCTTACCGGAGGTCCGGGCGGCCCCTCCGGCCCCGGCAGCCCAGGAACCTGGAAGTCGGAGGGAGATGGTTAGCCCACGCCTGTTAGCCTCTAGGTAGGCAGCCCTGCCTCCTGACCCGGCCTGGGGGCCGGCTGGGGACTCCACCGCCGATGACAGAACCGCCCAGCGCACAGTCTCCCAAACCAAGGCTTAGAACCTATCACAAACTAACAGCAACTCATTAACCTTTACAATGTTGCAAAAACAAAACCAACCAACCAACCAACCAACCAGACAAAACTATTGCTGACAAATGCCCTTGAAACATCAATCCTCTCAGACTTAAAACAAAAACCAAAACAGTACAGAAAACCTGTATGCATAGCAACAAAGGCCAGGAGCTGAATGAGAGTCTCCTCTCCAGGAGGGTCCTGAGATCTTCAGTTTGCCCCAGGCCCTACCACTCCCTATTGTCTTTAACCTGGACCTCTGTGTTTGTTTGTTGCATGCCTGGCCATTGGAGACATTTGAATTTGAGACCTTTGGCTTAGAGGAGCAAAGTTGGGTTATCTGAAATGGGGAGAGGCTGAGATATTGCTGAAGAATATTCCTCAAGTGCCCCCAAGTTTGTAACAGAGACTGCTGGACCCCATTTCCCTTGAGGGCAGGTTGAAGCAGAGGAGACTCGGAGGGGACAGTGAAGGCGGAACCGGGGGCAGTCTGCCGCCCTCTGGAGGGGGGTGTGCATCTCGGGCTCTGTCTCTGATGAAGGTGGACACCGATTTGTCCACAGCAGCCGCCCTGGAGGTGGGAAGGAGACCTGCCTGCTCCCCTCGGGAACAGTCACTCCACTTCGGCCTGGGGGCTCTCCTCACCTTCCCAGGGATGGAATCCCTTGGGTGTGACCTGGGTGGGGACCCTGTGCTAGGCTGCCACAGAGCGAGCCCCTGCACTGGGCAGAGGGAGACCCTTAACATCCGCTGACCCTGTGGACTGTTTGGCTTCATAATACACAGTCTCCCTACAGGGAGCTCAGTCTTTAGAAACGCTAAAAAACGACTGCTTGTTTTTCTTGTTATAAATAATTCATGCACCCTGATGGTGGTAGTGGTGATACGGATCTATACATGTGTTAAAGTTCACGCTCCCTCAAAAGTTGACTTCTGCTATATGATAATTAAAACATAAAAAATGTGCAGTAATACAGGCCCATTAAAATATTTTATAAATGAAAAAGAATTGAAAGGAGGAAAAGGCACAAATATCTGAGGACTGCTAATATTTTGCTTTGTTTCCCTCCACTCCTTTGAGGCATAAAAGATATTTGAGTATATGTGCCTCTTAGGATATTATGTAGATAATTTGATTCTCTGCTCTTTTTTATTTACCATGAAACCCATTTCTCCATTTTTTGTATGTTGCTCACAAGCCTCCTTTGAATCTCAATGTGCTATTCATCGAGGGCAAGGAAAGTGAGTTACTGCGAGGCCAGGGTTGGAGCAGTGCTTGGCACAAGGCACATTCTTCCACGTGGGGACTATTGTTACCACCAGGATTACTACCAGAAGTCATTTAATCATTTCCTTCTTGTTAGAAATGCGGGCTGTTTCCAATTGTTACTTGAAATACATCTGGAAGGAACGTTTTTGGGTACGATGCTGTTCCAGGACTCAGAGCATTTCTTTAGGAGGCTATCCCTCTCCAAATCAGTAACATACACGTTGGAGAGTCAGGTCTGTGTCCCTAAATGCAGACAGGACTTGGTGCCACTGAAGCTGACAGGAGCTGGGGGCTTCTCTGGGGACCGAGAAGGCGCGGTGGTCCCTCCCTGAGCTCCCCGGCAGGGTCTGGGTGGCCCAGGCCTTCCCACCACACCCCGCCATCCTCAGGTTTCTTCGACCTCTCGCTTTCCTGGCTCTTTTGAACCTACATGTTCGCTGATTCCCTCCCATTTTACGCGAGCGCGGCTTCTCTCCCGACGACCTCTTCCTGCACTGTTCTCTCCTCTTGCCTTCGCCACCACACCTCTGAGAACAATGCCTCTTTCTCCAGAAAGCCTGCCTCCGGAGCTTCTAGGCGAACTCCTACAGGGTCTTCCAGGCTCTGCTCAGATGACCCGTCTTTGGGGGTGCTCGCGTGAGCCCCCAAGCAGCTGCCACGCTTCTACCACTACGGGGGCTGTGTGCTGCACAGAGACAGCTCTGTTCACTGCCTTATCTCCTGGCTCCAGCCCCAGGAGGGAAACGCCACTGAGGGACTCGGTCCACAGTGAGAGCCTTGGGCAGAACGGGGGCTCCCTGGCCGACCTGCTGTGCCGCTTGGCAAATGCTCTTGTGCCCTCCCTGAATCAGGCAGTTGCGGGTTTCATTCTAGATGTGGAAATTCTGTGCACACTGGAGAGGCTGTGTGTGCCGCGGTCCCTGTCATGACCCCCGTGACACAGAAGGCAGAGCAGGCGCCACCTACCTCTACTCCTGGATCACCCTTTTCCCCAGGCTCTCCTTTCTCTCCCTGTGGGCACAAAACACCACGGCATGGATGCCAGCACGCAGGGGGCCTGGGGCAGACACACCTCAAATCTGTGACCAGCAAGAGGCCAGGCCTGGGTGTTGGCAAGGAACACCTCAGAGGCTATGGGGGTGGTCAGCCAGAGGGACAAAGGTGGGGCAGGTGGCCTGTGATCACTGCCTTTGAGAATCTGAGTTTCCAGCAGGTGGGAGGAGAGGCTGATGCCCTGTATGGGTGCTGCAGGGCGCAGGCCCTACGGTGGACCGACAGGATATGGCATATGGCGAAGTTGATGAAATGTCACCCTTTGATTCTGTGACGAGATTATGCTACAAATTATAACGTACTTATAAAACAGTCTACAAACACATGTTAAAACTGTTAAAAATATGTTACACACACATACACGCAGAGCTCTGTCTTGCTAGCAAACACGGAGACTCCCGTTGGCCTTGGCCTTGGAGAAGCAAGCTGCTACAACGTGAACTGCCTGCTCTGGGGAAGGCTGTGTGGCCTGGAACTGCAGGCAGCCTCTCGGAGCTGAGGGCACAGACCCACCATAGGAAGGCACTGAATTGCGCCACGAGCGGCGAGCTTGGAAGAGGAGCCCAGCTCTGGAGGAGAACGTGGCTGGCCAACACCCTGGCTGCAGCCTGCGGGCCCCTGGGCAGAGGCCCAGCGGAGATGTGCCTGGACTCCTGACCTATAGAAGCTGCGATAGCATCAGTGTGTGTTGTTTTAAGCTGCTAAACTTGCGGTGGTTTCTAAGGCAGCTACAGAAATGAGTAAGGCTCCAGAGAAGGGTGGGAGTGGCAGAGGGGGGGGATGTAGATGGGGGAGCTGGCACAGCACACCCAGGAGCACTCCCTCCAGCTTGGGGCTGCCCTGCCAGGAAGGGGTCATGCCGGAAGGTGGGGAGCTACCTCCTGTCCTAGCTGAGCAAGGCAGCCACAGCCAGTCACAGGTGGGACTACGTGACCTCTGAGGTTCTTTCTCTTCACTCGGAAAAGGAGAATTCTGAGTCTAAGCTCCTAGCACCTTTGAACTATGTTGGCGCCTGAAGTCGGAGGCCACCATGCTGTGTGCTGAGGGAGCTGGGACCCTTGTCCACCCTCAGCGGCCCCCTGAGACGGTGTCTGCTCATGAAGAGGGCACCCCTCGCCAGGTAGGGCAGGCCGGGGGCTAGCGCAGCCTTGGTGTGGTGTAGGCGCGCCTGCCGGGCTGCGGCCTGCCTGCAGGGCCCCCCTGCCCACGGGCCCCTGCCTGCCGCTGGCCTGCACACCCAGCCCTCTCGCCTTACTGTAAATCCTGGGAGCCCGATTGGGCCAGGCAATCCTGTTGCTCCAGGTCTCCCTTGGCCACCTGGTTCTCCTTTCTCCCCAGTTGGGCCATCTAGACCCTAAAGACCGACAAAGATCTCGGTTAGTCAAGCACAAGGTCGTCATGCTGAGCATCTGTGACCGGAAGTGGCGTGCATGCAAGGCTCCCTTCCTCCAGGGGCAGGTGTCTAGGATGGTGACCATTCACAGACAAAGACTGCTGACGTGTGGAGAGGGCTCCTGAGTCAAGGCAGCGGCCTAACTGGGGTGTGCTAAGACCCCCCTTTTTGTACAAGCAAGCTCTTCTGGGTAGAGGGCTTCTGGACACTCTCCCAAGAGGCAGTTTTAGACCTGTGACTTTATTTCCTTCCCAACAGCCTAGTATGGCATCCAGGAAAAGCACTATGACCCCCATTCTTAAGACGAGGGAACTGAGGCTCTGCCAGCCTCAGTGAGTTCCATGAGGGGATGGACAGACACAGAGGATGACAGAACAGGACCCAGGTCTCTTGAGGTGGGACACAGGCCTTTATAAAGTAAGTGGCTTGAGGGGAAACCAGATGGAGCCTCTACCCCAAACCCCTGGCTCCAGGTTGGCAGCCCAGGCTGCAGGGCCAGAGTCATGCCGGGGGTGGTGCATGCAGAAGGGTGAAGTTGGGGCTCCCTGGCCCTGGCACTCACCGGTGGGCCAGCCTGCCCCGTCTCCCCTTTTTCCCCCTTCTCTCCTGGGCTCCCCGGGTGTCCGTCGTCTCCCTTTATTCCTGCAGGCCCTGGCTTTCCTGGAGGGCCTTGGGGACCAGGAGGGCCCACGTCTCCTGGTTTGCCTCGAGGACCCTTTCGAAAAGATCAACAACGCTTATTAGACACACTAGTGGAGAAACAAGAGAGGGAACACGAAAGAATGGGTGGCCTGGAGGCCTTGGTTCTTCCGTGCTCGGCTGGACCAGGCAGAGAGCCTGTCCAACTCCTGGGGGGAGCCGCGGGGGCCTCAGCCGCCAGCCCCAGCCCAGTGTGGGTCTGCCGGCTTCTCCGAGGCCAGCAGTGTGAGGCCCAGCGGGGCTTCTGCAGGGTGGGCCTCCCCTCCCTTCCTCTTTTCTCTTCCCCACAAGGCCCACACTTGGGCTTCTTCCAGAGCCTCTGCCCCATCACCCCCCAGGGCAAGGACCATCTTCCGAGGTTTGTCTGGGAGTGTCTGTTCTTACCTTTTCTCCATCAAGTCCTGGAGGGCCTGGCAGTCCAATCTCCCCCTGCAGCCAGAATAAATAACTAGAGGTTACTCCAGAGCAGAGGAGAATGACAGCTGTCATTCACGCAGCACGCCCCGTGTGCCAGGAGTCCCTGGGAGGCATGCACTTGCACCGAGGACTTGTGATATGAGAAAAGTCACAGGGGTTGGGGTTGGAGAATAAAAGGGATCAAGGGAGGAGTGAGACTGGAGTTGGGCTCAGGGCCACGTAACCTGTTGGCAGGTTGGGGTTGCCACCGGGCTTGTGGCTGGGGCAGGGTCTGGTAGGGCAGGATCGCCACATCAGAAGGGATCTAGGGTTACAGGTGCCCAGGACAGGCAGCCAGGGAAGAGTGGCAGACCGGAGGGCAGGAAGAGTGATGGCAGCTAGATGGGGGTGGTGCCTTATGCATTGAACTAGAAGCCAGAGTGAGGCGAGGGCGCTGGGAAGATGAGCATCACAGGATGCGGGCGGAAGCGGGGGCCCGAGCACGCAGACAGACACATGCGTTCCTGCTGCAGCGTGTGAATTCCCGTTGTTGAGACAAGTGTTACCTTCTGGCCTGGAGTTCCCGGAGCTCCAGGAGGGCCGATTTGTCCAGGAGGACCAGGGGGCCCCTAGGGAAGAAAAGAAAGACTCAAGGAAGAACTTCCTGATCAAGGAGTGGCCTGTCACCAGAGGGGTGTGTGCGGGGACTGGTTTATAGAGATCAGTTGCTGTTGAACATTTCATCAGTGGCGGGAACATTTTCTTTGTAAAGAAAATAACGTGAAGCAGATAAGCACCGAGTGTGTCTGGGTTACAGTGGCTGGTGGGGACCCCGGAGCCACGCCCAACAGCCTCTCCCTCCTCTTTGCTCTCGGGCACCGCTGGGGGCTCCCTGGCTCTAAGAAGACAGACAAATAGGACGTTCCTGGCAGCGACTGAAAACTGGCCCCAGGGAACAACCCAATTGTCCACCAACAGGTGGAGGTCCGACACATCAGTACAGTAGAATGCTGCTCAGCAGCGGAAAAGCAGCAAGGATGGCGCCTGCCACGCCATGGGCCAAACACAGACACACTGCGCTGAGCGGAGAGGCCAGACGCAGACACTAGGTACCGTGTGGTTACATTCATAGGAGACGCTAGCAAAGGCACATCTAATCCACGGCAACAGCAAGCAGGTCCGTGGTGGCTCAGGGCTGGGGGTGGGTGGGGGACCGACTCAGGCCCACGAGGGAACTTTCTCAAGTGACTGGGGTGGTGGATTCATGTTTACAGATACATTTGTCAAAACTCAGCAAACTCTACGTCTAACGGGTGCATTTTATTGCATGTGCATTACACCTCAAGGTTGACTTTAAGAGGAAAAAAAGTGTTTCCAGGAAAGTTTTGCTTCCCAAAGCTATTTTAAATGATGTATTTTAATGTTTCCAAACAAAGCCCATTGATTCCAGAATCATGTGGTTAATGAGCACCAATTTCTGGGATTGGAACATCCTGGGATTGGCGCTCGATTCTGGGTTTGTGTCATCCCTAGGTGTGTGCTGTGGCGTGTGGACACTGAAAATACGAAGTGAAACAAAACGCCAGTAGCTTGAGGACTTGGCGGTCTCCCCTCTCCTCTCCACCGGTGCTAGCGTGTTAATTACAAGTACCCACAGAAAGCTGGCCCTGGTAGGCAGGTGTGCAAAACCCAGGCTTGGAATTCACTGGTTTTCCAGATGTAGGTAATGAAATTGACTTAAATGCGAAGGGTCACTGCTGATTTTTTAGGATTATGCACTTTATCAGCTGAAGGTTGAGAAAAAGGAGAAAAAAAAACTTCCTCCTCTATCCCCCTATTTCCTTGACAGAGCTGTAACGAGAGCGCAGCGTTTGCCCTGTGACAAGTGTGCACCGCTGAATCGGCAGACACACTCTGGCAGACGGCCTTGACCAGAGTGGGCGCGGCTCTGAGACCCCCTGCTCAGACTCAGACCCCCCTGCCCCCACGCTGCCAGGTCAGCCCTAACCCAGAAAGCCCAGCGCCGCCTTCCTGAGGCAAAGTGAGCCCTGCAGTCCTTGCTTTCAGGCTGCCCTCCCCCGGCCCCAGCCTGGTGCCCAGCCAAAGTGAGGAAAGGGAAGACTTACAATCAAGGTCAGCGTCGGGATCTCCTAAAAAACCAACACCGTGCAATCAGGTGAAGAGCCAAGTCAAGAGCCATCTGTCGGGCCCCCACGGCCCAGTTGGAGCGCGGGGGCTGGGCCCTCTAGGGACTGGGCTCTGAGCCTCCCAGCCCCACAGCACCCCCACAGCACCCCCACCACTCCCAGAGGTGCATAATGCCTGGGCAGGGAGCACCCCACATCTCAAGGGGTGCAGCTCCGAGGCTGCCCTACAATGGACTCACACAGGCCCTCACACGGCTTGCGACCTTTCTTTTACTTTGCCAAAGAGGGAGGAAGCAATGTCCCTTATTCTTTCTAGTCGCTGCTTGTAGCCCTCCCTTACTGGTCCCCGTTGTTCAGTGTCTCGAGTTCAAGGTTCTGAGGCACTGCCCTTTAAACCAACAGATGTGGCATAGCAAACTATGGAATCATTCAAAAAAGAATTAAATGGATGATCGTTGGCATTACACAAGAATTGTACACCTCATAAATGGATTTGCACAGTGAGATAGTTTTCTTTAAAGAACTAGTTCTCAACCTGGGTCAGCTGTGCCCCCAGCGGACATCTGGCAATGTCTGGAGACACACTTTGGTTGTCACAACTGGAGGGGGTGCCTCTGGCATCTGGTGGGGGAGACCAGGCACATTGCCGAACATCCAACAACACACAGGACACCTTCCTCCACAGCCCCACAGCAGGATGATCCAGCCCAAATACCAACAGAGCCAAGGCTCAGAAACTGCGTCCGAGGGCGGGTACCATATGAACTTGAAATATGGTAAAACTGATGCAAAAGGGAGCTGAGTCCCAGGAAGACAGATGCTAACATGTGAGCAGGGTGTGTGTCCACTGAGGAAACGAGGCCTGCAAACCTTGGATGGGCCGACAGCTCCAACTACGCTTCTCAGTTACTCAGAGCCAGGGTCACGGGCCAGATGGGCCCAGATGGAAAGCCAGGCCACCCGAATGCCAAGTGAGGGGGCCATTTGCCTGGAGGCTGCACAGTGGGAGGCCAAAGGTAAGAAAACAAGGGAGTGGCCCTCCGGGAAGCCCTGCACAGTGGCCTGGGCTCAGAGGTGTTGCAGCGCTCCCTCCTCTAGGCCTCCATGCAGAGCCCGGAGGCCCCTGAGCACTCAGGCCAGCCTGCACTCACCTGGAGAGCCTCGTTGATGCTGGCATTGCAGTCCACCACCTCTCCTTTCCCTGGTTCCCCCTTGGAGCCCTACAAGACAAATGAGGTCTCAACCCAGGGCCTGGGCCGGCAGGGACCTGCTGCCTGCTGCCTATCAAACGGGACTGTGGCCGACACTGCCTGCGCCTGGCTACACACAGGAGGACACAGAGCAGCTAGAGGGGGTGCCTAACGGGGGACTCCAAACGCTCTCAGAGGGCGCTCAGGAGCTGGGCTCTGAGAGAATGCTGAACTAGGCCGACCTGGAGAAGGCCAAGTCCACTCATGGCTGTGATGCCAGACCTCCTGTCAGGGGCCGGCCAGCTCTTGCCCTCTCTCCCCCTCAACATCCCACAGATGTGCCACTTCACTCTGCAACCCCAGGGAGGTGAGATGTGCTGTGACTCTGGTCGAGAGGCGCACCTACCTGGGGGCCAGCTGGTCCCTGTTCTCCAGGTGCTCCAGGGTCCCCCTATTACATGACAAAATTGGAGTGAAATGGGGCAAAGCTGGGATGAGAGAACCCAGTGTCCCCAGAGGGGCCATGCGCTAGTGGCCACGGAGGGTCCGGAGGCTCAGTAAGCGCAGGCCACGAGGACAAGGAGCCCCCAGTTCACTAGGTGCGGGCTCCACTCCATCAGGGGGCGGCTGCCCATCTGCTCTCTCCCTCACGCTCCCCCCAGTTTTGCATTGAAAGATATTCTTTCTGTCCTGCGTTAGTTGTTAGCGAGTCCACCTATGTCCATCTGGCCACCCCTCCCAGCCCCCTAATCAGCTGCCTCCTTGGGAGCTGTGATTCTCTTCATTTCTGTTCTGCTCAGGTATCGAGGGCTCACAAATTGTTGCCAATTGCCTGGGTCAATATTTGCCATGAAGAGCCCACAGGGTTCTTCTCAGAGCCCTTCTGTTTGAGAAAGACCCGAACTACCGGGCAGAACACAGGAGGGGCTGGGGACCGAGAGGCGTCCGGAGCCCCGGCCTCCCTGAGTGGGTGAACTGAGGGCATTTCTTCCTGTGGGACGCAGGACAGACGGCGGGGAACAGACAGAGCGGTGCTATAAATGCAGTTCAGTTCTGCAATGATGTTAACATTGGTGACAATTTAAAAAGTAAGAAAGTAAAAATAAAGGAGAAAATGAACCCTTTAATGTAACTTAACTCCTGAAGACACTGCTGCTGGCCAGCTCATGACGCATCTAGCCACTGCCGCCTCCAGGCCTCCAGGCCCCGCCTCCCCGCCCCCCCCACAGCACTTTGGTCAGCCTGCACCTGTGAGGCACACGGCAGCGCCCCGGCCCTTCCACCGTGACCAGCTGCGGGGAAGTGGAAGTCCATCTCTCCCAGTGGCTTGAAAGCTAACAGAGCAGGGGATCTGGGTCAGCCTGAAGCCCAAGTCCACTGTCCCTGGGCCAGCCTTCCAGCTGCAGGGACGGCCAGGCTCCTAATCTCTGAGCTGGGGCTTGAACTCTCGAGCTGACCCTCATCCTACAGCTTTCAGGTCTGGGGGCCTCTGTACCTTGTCTCCCTGCTGTCCAGGGGGGCCGGCCCGGCCGTCTGCACCAGCTTCTCCCTGGGAAGGGAGAGGGATGGGATGAAGGTGTGCAGGGCAGCTGGGGTAGTTGCTCAGCGGGGCAAAAGATGGTCTCGGTGTTAATGTTCTGGGAACTAAGGGTCTGGACCTCCATCTCCTATCTGACTCCTACCCAGGCTCGGGTCCAGCCTGGGCCTCCCCTCTCCCTGCAGCCCTGTATCTACTCCCTTCCCTCTCTGAGTTCTGCTCCTCACGCGCCTCTTCTCCCCTAGACAGGCTTTCCTCAGTTCTGTTAGCACACACAAGCCCAGTTCTGTCTTGGCTCCAACCATGGGCCAGCAGCCCATGGAGGGTCGTCTTGGAGCTGAAACCCTTGTGGGGCGCACCTGACCCTGCCTGGGAGAAGAGGGGCGAGTGAAGGCCCTGGGCCTGTGTGTGTGGTGGTGGGGGAGGGGGCTGTGTGTGTGTGTGTGTGTGTGTGTCTGGTGTGGGTCCAGGGGAGGTAAGAGGAGGCCCATCCCAAATCTGTCACTTACTAAACATTTGCTTGGTCTTAGAAAGGGGACGTGATTTGGGGAGCAGTCTTCTAGCGTCCCTTTCTCTTGTCCCAGGGTGCAGGGACAGCAGTGACCAGGTTTCTCCACCCCCAAATCGAGACCCCAAATGCGCCAGGTATGCATGCCCTGTGGGGCCAGCGGGTCGGACTCCAACACCGGGTGTCTGGGAGCCCGGAGGGCAAGGCCACCTTTGGCAAAGCTGGTGCTCCTGCGGGGGGCTCTGCGCCTGCTGTGGTCACGGTGGCCCCGGCATGGGTGCGGCGGAGGGGAAGCCATTTCCCCTTGCCTGTCTGTGGGGTTCCCCGTGGCTTCCTTCACTGTGCTCCTGTGAGCTGTGGGCTAGTCTGTCCTGCTAGACCGTGAGCCGGGCGAGGGCAGTTCTCTGCTGCTCCGTGGCCTGTGCAGGGCCCCCCATAGTGGGCCCTCGAGAAAAAAGGTCAGAGTGTCTGGATGGCCTCCAACCATGAGGGTGATTAACCTTTTCCTTCTAAGTTAAGAAAGAGACCCCCTCATTTTCCTGTGCTGCTGAAATAAAGCAAGCGTCACAGGTAGCGTCTGCTCGGGGAAACCCGTATCTCACCGCTGCAGTTCCCATGGGGAGCAAGGGAAGCGTGGGCAGGCCCATCTGCAGCTGTCCCCCCTGCCGCCCCCGCTGCCCAAAGTCTGCCGGCCCCGGCGGGGCCCAGCACCTCACTGACCCCAGAGCTATTCAGAGCCCAGGCCAGGGGCCTCTCTGGCTGTCCAAAGGCTCTGCAGTCAGTCCCCAACTCGGTTACGTCATTGCCATTTGAATCAACAGGACCATCCATCTGTCCTGCCTGGACATCTTTCCTGGATGGTCAAAACTGTCACTGCTTGGGAGCAGGAGCTCAGACCAAATGACCTTTCCAGAATCCGATGGAAAAACCACACTCTTGGAGCAGAAGCCTCGAGAAGGCAAGGTGCCCAGGACACAGCATCACCCAAGAAGTGGCGGAGGATAAAGGCCTCCTCAGACTGATATCTCCCTTGAGGGAAGACTCACCTTCGGCCCTGGGGGCCCGGGGAGCCCTGGGGGCCCGGGCTGCCCTCCGCCTCCTCCAATGGAGTTGCCAGCATCGCCTTTCTCTCCCTGGAGATGGAAAGCAAAGATTTATCATCACTGGGCCCGCCTAGCTCTGGAGGGACTTGGTTGAAGCCTGTCTGTCTCCCCTCACAGCCCGAAAGCCTAGAGGCAGCCAACCGCCCCTCAGTCTAAACTTGGTGGGGTGGGCATTAGGGATCTGTGGGGTCCAGGACGGCCAGGAACTGGAGGCGTTCAGAAGTCTGACCTGGTAGGGTCCAGCCATGGGTTTTAGGGGAGAATGGGGCTGGCTGCTGAGGGGGGAAAGGCTTAGAGCTGAAACGCCAGACCCATCAGAACCTGGGTCTGGAGCAGTGTTTCTCAAAGTATGTTCCACGGAACACTTTTTTCAGGGGGTTGGCAATATCTGAAATGTGAAGAAAAGGGGGGATCTGGTGGCCAGTGTCAGGAAAGGTGAGATGAAATGAGGCTTCGCACAGGAAGGTCAGGCTAAGGTGTCCTGTGACTGACCGTCCAGGGGGCCTGCCTGAGACGGCTCTCCCCGGACTCACTTGACCTTGGGTCTTTTTTCAAACGGAATAGCTTCTGGAGCTCATGTATAATTGAGCACATTTTCAGAGCTGGTGCAGAGAAATCTGACCAGGTCATAGCTGTTGAATTCTTTGAATTTGGGCAATTTTTGCTGATCAGGGCCTCCCATGTGGTACCTCATACCCTGCTCCTCTGAAACAGAATCAGATTGTGTTCCAGAGGTTTCCCCCCAAAGCTGGGAGGGACACCTTGAATGTGGGGCCCATGTGAACATGCAGAGCTGGGAATGTTGGAGGGGAGGAACATTAAGGCCTTTACACAGAACCCACCATCCAGAGCCCCTCAATACCCACCTTCTGCCCCAGGAGGCCGAGTAGCCCAGGGGAGCCCACAGCCCCCTTCTCACCCTGCAGAGGAAATGGTGCAGGATTAGAAACCCTTTCTCTGGATGTCCGTGCGGTGCAGGAGTCACCCCACCAGCACCAGGCCCCGGCTCTCCTCTCTCCTACCTCCCTGCCCCTCCGAGGGCCGTTTTTGGAAGGACTCCACTTCCTGAAGGACCCCATCTGGGTCCAGCTCCTTCCACAGGCCACGTCACACCTGTGACAGCCCACGTCACTGTTCTCCTGGCCCCACGTGGGCTGGGCCCCCATCACTCACTCAGGGAGAAGAGCCGAGAGCATTCGGGCCCTTTGAGGGTCTCCTTGGGGAGCAGCGAGCAGTTTGGAATGCTGGTAGTTGGGGAAACTCTTCCTTCAGCCCCTTGGCTCTTTTCACGTTCCTAATGTCCAGCCGTTTGGGGCCCCTGGTCCCCAGGGGGAGCCTACTGCCTGCCTCCTCCCTGCCTCCGGAGAAGACAAGAACCATCTAACCAGAACTTCTCTTTGGAGGAATATTTTGAGAGGCTTGCCTCCTGTTATGGTTGAGTTGTGTCCCCCACAAATTTGTATGTTGAAGTCCTAACTCCCAGCCCCTCAGCATGTGACCTGATTAGGAAACAGGGACATTAAAGGAATAATTAGCTATGTCATACTGGAGTAGGGTGGGCCTTTCACCCAGTGTGACCAGTGTCCTCACACACAGGGGAAGGCTGGCCACAGACGTGCGTTTGGGGAGAAGCCTCGTGAGGGCGAAGGCAGAGATGGGGGTGATGCTGCTACCAGCCAGGGAACTGAAGGATGGCGGCAAACCGCGAGAAATGGGGCGACAGGCCCAGAACAGCTTGTCCGTCACAGCCCCCAGAGGGAGCCAACCCTGCTGCACCCCAGACTTCTGGCCTCCCAACTGTGGCACAATAAATGTCTGTAGTTTAAGCCACACAGTTTGTGGTCCTCTGTCGGGCAGCAAAACGAACGCTGCTCCCCAACCAGCGTCTTCCTCCCCCGAAGAACTCCTGCCCGCTGCGTGAGCCCCAGCGCCGCCCTCAGGCAGGTGAAGAGGCTCCGCGACTGTGAGCAACCCCTCGCCGCGCCCCTAGCACAGCTGCTCTGTCTCCTGCGCTGCCTCTTGATGCTCCACCTCCTCTGCCACCAGGACCTCACTGTTCATTCACGGAGCGTCTCACATCAGAAGACCCCCCCACCCCAAAAGCACCCGCCAGGTCAGCATGAGAAGCTCCACTCTCCAAAGCCTGGCGGCTGGTGGTTTACAGCTGTAATGATATACATCGAGGCCCTTGGGTCATAATTTGCTTAGATGTCTCAATGACCTTTCCAGCTGGAACCACACGAGAAGCCACACCAAGTCATTGAGGGTCCTCCCCTTGTTACCTGTCCTTGGGTGGAAGCTGAATGGCAAGATGGCCTGAAGCTGGCCAAGGAAGGGGAGGAGGCTGGGTAAGCGCCCAGGTGGTGGGAGGACAGTAAGTCTTGGGGCCCCAGCGGGCTTTGCTTTGCCTGGGCTGTGCCTTAGTGGGGCCTGCCCTGAAATAGGTCAAGAAAGGGTGCGGCACTGCCCTACCACGGCCCTGGGGGAGTGAGGACAGAGGGAGGAAGGGCCTTCCTCCTGGGTAACCAATGATTTTCAGGGAGGAGGGTTGCTCCGAAGCTTCGCGCCTGTCCCAGCGCCCCCTCCTCCCGGGGACTCGCGCACCCATAGCACACGGCAGGCAGCACGCCAGTCCTGGGGGTGGGGCAGGGAGCGGGGGACCAGTGAGGTCCTGACAGGGGGAGCAGGCTACAATACACGATGTCCTACCCTCTGCCCCCTCTTTCCTGGCAAACCTGGGGACCCCAGCTTCCCTGTTGCTCCTGGGTCTCCCTTTGGGGTAAGAAGAGAAAGCCACTCCTAAGAGGATGGGGAAGGTGAGGGAGGGGTAGAAGGGGCAGTGATCACAGAGCAGTGTGTCTAGAACACTAGTCCCATAAGATGCTCCTCTGGAAAAAAGATGCCCTGGTCAAAAAAGTTGGAAAATTCTTGACAAGATATTACCTTGTAAAGCTTTCCAAACCATTTAGCAAATTAAAGGCTCTGAGAAGGTCTGCGATGAAGAAGCCTGTGTGGTATTTTTAATCCCATATTTCTCAAACGTATTTGACCATGGAAACTTCTTTTCATGCTACATCTTTTAATGCGCTAGATGACAGAGACTGAGCCCTGCAGGCACAGGGACCACAGTTCCTGCCTCTGGACTGGGCGTGCAGGTGACAGGTGGACTGGCGGAGCTGTCCCTCCTGGTCCGGGGGCAGGGAGGCTCTCCCTGTGCACCCTTGACCAGCAGGCTCTTCCCTGGCAGGCCTTCCTCTGCTCGGTCCAGTCCCAGCCCCAGGCCAGCCTCGGGGGACCCTCTCCCCGACCCCAGAATCCCGATGCTCCATGCAGACCCCAGTATTTCCTCTGCCTCCATACCTTGGCTCCTGGGGTCCCTGGTTCACCCTGTGTGGGGAAAAAAGGAGACTCAGGTAAATAACTGAGAGGTAGGGAGAGAGAGCCAGAGCCAGAGAGCGAGCAGGAACGAATGAGCTCAGGGCTGTCCTATGCTTAGACCTCAAGCCCCAGGCCGAAGAGGCACCACCTGGACCCTTCCTTATTCTCCTAGGCGGTGGGTGTGGCTGGTGTGGGTGTCAGTGAGGCACCCCAGGAGGAGGAAGAGGATGCAATGGGCTTTTGCTTTGCACTCTCAAGTGGCCCTGAGGGACGGCCACGCTGAGCCCCTGTGCTCCCTGCTGTCCCCACGCCCCTGCCTGTCAGCCAGTGGGGCAGTTAGGGTGGGGTGCAGGAGGGCACCCCTCTCCTCCCGGAAGCTTTGCAAGCATGCAGCTGCTAAATTTCAGAGTGTGAAGGAAAGCTCTGGCCCCACTGCACGTTGCAGGAGGGTGAGACCAGCAGCTGAGGCTGGGAACCCTTTCCTGCTTCCTTGAGAAGCTTAGGTAAACATCAGTTGTTCAAGCTATGCATGCATCTGGCAAAACGGCTGCTTTCCGAGAAATGTTTCCCAATCCTGCCGGCCCTTGGTCCAGAGCCCCCAGACTCCCAGCCCTGTCCTCCTCTCCCCACCTCCCCCATCCCGCCCCTCTGTGGAGTTACAGCATTCCACTGACCTTCATTCCAGCCACCGCGATGCCAGGAGCCCCCTGGCAGAGAGAGGAAAAGGCATGGAGACTTCTTCAGGCAGGGGAAGCATGGCGGAGGCGGCCAGCCTCCCAGCCTCCCCCTGGGGAGATGCGAAGGCGGACTGCTCACTCCCGCCTGCTGCCCAGCCCCATGGGAAAGGGGGGTGCTGAGCTTGGCACGGGGGGAGCAGCCCTGAGGAGGAGGCTCTGTGCAGCGCAGCCAGATTCCCAGGCTTCCCACCCACCTGTTCGGCACCATGGGCACCATGGTGGACACAGTGGACACCATGGCTGGATGCCCACGGGTGAGCTAGATGGGGGCACCCCTGGGAGGAAGTGGGGGGAGGGACACATTGGGATTGGAGAGGAGGAGTGGGAGATGAGAGGGGAGGGGAGGGAAAGAAGGGTGGGGGAGGGGAAGGGGAAGGGGAGAGGAGTGGGTGGTGATGTCCCACATGCAGCCCACCCAAGGGTGTGTCAGCGGGATTCTCCTCACAGGAGGCTACCTGACCTCCGCCCTCATGGACTGGGGATCAGCTGGCAGTGCACCCCATTTCCACATTGGGCCAAGACCGCCTATCTACTTTGGGAGTGGGGCAGGCTGCCAAGCCCAGTGCTCAGACACTCCCAAGTGAAGGTGATTTGCAGGGGTGCCCACTCCCCACATGGGTCTCAAGACTGCAGCCAGAGGTGGGGTCACTGAGAAAATTTTTATGACCCCCAAAATGCCCAGAAGCAGACTCGGCCATGTCAGAAAGATGCTGGTGAGTGAGGGCTCGTGGGCCAACCAGGAGCAGCCCTGCCTGGAAGTACAGGCTGGTGCAGTGAGGGGGGGGGGTGCCTGGCAGGAAATGTGCACCCTGTGTTCACAGAGGGACATGGAAAGGGGGAGCGTGGGAGAGGTGAGGGCAGGGCGGGGCTGCCTGGGGTGTGACGAGGGGCGGGTACCTTTGCTCCGTGTTTGCCCGGCATCCCTGGCATGCCCCGTTCTCCCTGAAGGAAGGAACAGAATCCGTGAGAAGATGGCTCAGGGCCCCTTGGCCTCGGCCCTTGAGGCATGGCAGGCTAGGATGTCATTGAGAATAGCCGATCTGGAAGCTGGGGACAGTTGTCCTGCTCAGGATGAGCTTCGAGGACCTGCCATCCCTAGCAGCCGCCACGGGCCACTCCTCTCACCTATGCAAACTTGTAGAGGGGTCCAAGTCAGGGAGCAGAGTGTGGGACAGGCCCCCAGACGGAGGCCCACCGGAGGAGCCGAGTGCTCTGGGGCGGGGACAGAGGGAGCTCTTCAAGATCTGCTGCCGGCCATGGGCCCGCGGGGCCTTCAACTTGGTGCTGGGGGCGGGGGGCGGGGGCGGTGGAAGTGGCCCACCCGGCCGCTTACCTACTGCACACCCGCCCTCCCAACCCGCCTAGTACTTCCTGTCCTGTTTTCATCCCAGCAGGCTTGCTCCAGTGGAACCTGCTGGCCCAGCCAGAGAGGCTCCTGCATGTCGCATTCCTCTGAGGATCCGTTTCCTCCCAGGCTCCTCGGGTCTAAGTCTTCCCAAGGGCCCATGCGGCAGAGGGTCTGCCTGCACTGTGGGTGGTGGACTGGAGATGAATCGGGGTGCTGCCTGGAACCCGTCCAGGGGCACCGGGACAGCTGTCGCTTCTCCAAGACGTGATGAAGTGTGCTCCACTGCCTTAGCGGGGCTGGTCTTTTTCATCAACCTCTCTTACCTCCCCATGAACAAGGCAAATCTATGGGAGGGGGCTGAGCTCAGGAAGAAGGACAGGGACTGCACTCCTCCGTCCTTGGAAGGACACACCAGGAGGAGACGAACGGGGGTGGAGAGTAGGTGAATGAAGACGAACCTGCTGTGTTGGGGGAGGCATGAACAGGGAAGAAGGAGAACACTTTCTGTCTCCATGAGCTGAACCCCAAATGCAGTTCTGGCCAGGGCCCAGACTACTGTGCAGCTACAGGTGACAAATGCCAGCCTGCTGCAGCCCCCCGAGTGCGGAGGCCAGCTCTGTGCCGGGCGAGGCAGAACTCTGACAGACCCTGGTCCGGGTCTCAGGCCATGCTGCAATCCCCACAGGCCGACAGGCAGAGGGGGACCTGGTCCCACCCCGTCTCGGTCCTTCCAGCTGTCCTCACCCCTTCTCTGCCCTCTCACAGGCAGTCCTGGTCCACAGCACGCTCACCAAGAATGGGGCTGCTTTGAACTCTCTCCTCTGTCATCGGCCTTCATGCTCCTCAGAACACGCGCTGGATGACGACACTCCCTACTGCCATCCTCGCTTCCTCCCCAGCCTCATCTCCTCACACCCTGACGCCTGTTATGTTCCCCTGAAAACACTACCCATTTTCATGGCTCTCTGCTATTTCCTCAGTACCCTGCTCATTGCTGGGGGCCCTGGTCAGATGCTGTCTCCTCGGCGAAGCCTTTTGCTTTGTCCCAAGCCCAGTGCTGGTTGCTCAGTGCAGCAAGGACCCTGCGCATTTGTAAGCTGTATGCACAAATTCACGTCGCCTGGGCTAGTTCATCTCCATTCTCTTTGGGCCAAGTCTCCTAATTCTGCAAAAGGTTCAGCATCTTTAGCTCCAAACCAGGAACCCTTCCTCATCCTGACCCACAGACAGAGGTGTGGACTCCAGAAGTGACCACAGCAGACAAGCCAGTGCCCAGGTCTGCCCTCGTTGCTAAATTCTGAGAAACTCCTCTATGAGAAAGAGCTGAGGAAGAGCATTTCCTGCATCTGCCACACATCTGGCACTGGGGTAAAGGGCTTTATATCCTTCTATTCAATCTCCAAAAATCCACTCCAATGGGGGAGTGGATATTATTCTAGCTTCACATGCGAATAAACTGTAGAGGTTAGGCATAAATGTCAAGGTCATGCAGAGCAGGGATTGGAACATAGGTCTTTTGTCTGCTAAAGCCCAGGTACCCATTTCTCTAGGCCAAGCCCAGCATGCAATGGGCTGATATTCCACTTGCCCTCATTCCATTCTCTCTGTAAGCTGAAAGGAAGGGAAAACCTTTCTCTGCTGGAGGGCCCTTGAGTGTGTGTCCCATAGGCACGAAGGGGTCAGCCTTCCAGGACAGCTCAATCCAGAGTCCCACCCTCTCTTTCCGTCCCAGACCTGGGTCTTTAACCATACGCACCCGGAGAAAAGAGCTGGGCAGAGCTCTGCCTGCCAGCACAGGTCCACCATGTGGCCAGCAGAGGGCACCACAGGACCTTGCCAAGAGTCTGGAAACTGCAGCCAAGCAGCCCTCAAGCCCTTCCTCAGGAGAACCAGCTGAGGGCCCCAGTCACTATTTCCTCTAAAGAACCAGGATGGCCTACCAACATGTCAACCAGCCCAACTGGGTTGACTCAGCCATGAGGACACCGGACAGAGTCCCCTGTGCTGCAGGAGGGAGGTCAGCTTGGGGGTCCCTATTCAGGGATTTCCCATTTGTCCTGCCCTTCCCTTTTCCGTCTTTCCCTCAGTGACCCTGCCTCCCCTTCCCACCTCCATTCTGGGGAGCTGACAAAAGCTGGCTGGCTGTGTGACTCCAGATAGTCCACTTCTCCTCTCTGGGCCCAGGACCCCCGCCTGCGATGGTGAGATCAGGCTAGACACCTTCTACCCACCCCTGCTCCTCCGTCTTTCTCCATCCATCCCAGCCCTGCCTACGTGAGACCCTTCGGAGGGAGAGAGGCCATGGTTGGAGAGGACAATGGGTCTGTGGCAGCTCCAGAACAAGGCCCCCTGGTGCAGAGTCTAGCTCTGGGTAAAACTGTAGCTCTAGGAGGGGTCTCTGCTTTCTCCTCCTCCTGCCCTCAAGAGACACAGAGCTTCCTGTGCTTCAGCAGGGAGGAGGGTGGGGGCTGCTCATCCTAGTCTCTGGGCTTCTGTCTCCATTCCCCACAGGAGCCATGCAGAGCAGAACCCGGGAGTGAGGGTTTCTGGCTAATTGGGCTTGTCTCCAGCCCACATTGGTTTGTACGTAAAGACACAACCATGCCCTCCAGGGACATCTGGGCCCCTTGGAGCCTCCTAAGGAGGCAGCCATCCTCATTAGCGCCACTGACCTCTGCCCCTTCCCTCCCCCTGGGTCAGGTCTCTTAATTCTGCAAATGACTGAGGCTCCCTTAATCTGCACCTCGGGGCCTCCCTCACTTCCAGCCCTTTGCTGGGCAGGAAGCAGCGGTGCCCTTCGCTGACCCCACCCTGCAGGCTCAATCCACTCTCATCAGTCTCCTTTCTCCAGGGATTGCTCCCTGGGCTTTCCCCAGCCTGACCTCTGAACCAGGGACCGCGCTGGTCCTGGCCAGAAAACCTTGATTCCTGGACAGTGGGTGAGGTGGAAGAGGGGTGAGAGTCACTGCCAAGGACTCCATGGTGGGTGTCTGTAGGGAGCAAGGGGCAGCGTTTCTGGCAGCTAGTGCCAGAAGGAGGCCAGTGGCTGTTCCTGGGGCTTGTCCTCATGGCTCGTCTTTGTGAGAGCTTATCTAGAGGCTCCTTCTGTCCTGTTTCGCTTCTTAGAAGTGTTCCTGTTTAAACGTCTGCATTTAAAATTGTGCTGACTTCAGACGCACTAAATCACTAACGTCTCCATCTTAGGTGGGGGAGGAGGTCTCGTTTTAGCTCCTGTACCGTGGCTGACCCCTGTTCTCCCAGTGGGGCCCCAGAGGCTCCCCCAGAGCCTCTCAGCCACTCACGCTGGGCCATCCTGCAGCTGGGGAAGTGGGTGCCTGAGATTACAAAGCGTTGAGCCCCAGGTGCACAGAGTGTGGGTGGCACAGGCTGCTGTGGAAGGAGGCTTGTGACCTGCCCCCCGTTGGGCTGACCCACCACCTGGAAGCCCGGCTCTTTAACTGCGGTCCCGGTGCTGAGAACCAATGTCTGGGTGCTGGCCCAGAAGGGGTGGGTTCCATTCACTGTGGCTAGGAAAGCTCTGGGTGACACAGGCAGGTAGGGAGGGGCTGCCCTGGATGACCTGAAAGCCTGTCCCAGCCAGGACTTTTACAATGGCCCTGACTCTCCCGCTGGGCCCTGCGCATGCTCAGGCTGCAGCATCAGTAGCTCCTCTATGTGGGTCCTCGCTTCCAGGTGTGAGGACCCATCCTTTACTGAGATGACAGGATGGAAGTGAGCTCATTGGTGCACAAGCTGGCCATGCTCCTGTTGGGTGGGAGTGGCCTCTTAATTGGTGATTTACCGTTTGTGGAACAAGTGGAGCAGGGACTTGGCAGGAAGACATAGTCTGGAAGGAGGTGGGGGCTTCAGGGTCAGCTCCCCAGCCAAGCAAAGGTCAGGCCAGAGAAACATGGGGAGATGAATGGGTCCCCCTAGTGTGGAGCTCCTGCTGCAGCCCACCACTGGGTGGGGGGGACTGGGCCGAAGCAACTCCACACACAGACCCTTTGTTCCCTGCAGGGAGGAGGAAGGCCTGTCTGAGTGTGGGCAGTGGAGGGCTGGGGGTTAGGCCAGCAGGAGGTTCAGGCCTGGACCAGAGTCCCTTCCTGGGCTGGAAAATCCGGGCAAAGAGGGCCAATGTCTTTTCCTCACCTAAAGAGTTCCCAGGACTCCCTTCGGGGAAAAAGGCAGCTCCCTGCTCTCACTCTAGCCAGCTCCAGGCCAGAGAGGCCTGGAACCGTGGAAATGCCAGGTCCTCTGGTAATTGGGGCTGGCAGGAAGCGATCTGGGGAATGACCGGGTCAGGCGCCCCATTGAAGGCCAGGGCTTTGGAAGGGCGGCTGGCTTGTAATCTCAATTTGAGATCGGTTGATTTTGTAGTTGGTTCCAAAAAGAAAAGTCAGCTCTAATTAATCTGTGGGCTTTGGAGTACAGGAGGAATGGGGCCCAGAGAGCAGAGGCTGGGGGCTGGAAATTGACGGAGGGGGAGTCCCGTGGGCCCCAGTGAGACTTCAGGTCTGGAGCCCATGTCTCAGCCCCCTGATCTGCTTCAGTTGAAATGGCCTGGCTGTCCCTGCTGGGACTTCGTGGCTTT